AACAGCTTCACTTTGCTTGAGGTTTTTCTACAGATTCTATCTAGCATGCAAGCGAAAGTAAGGGACCGTACTGTACTCAAATGTACCCACGAGCTGAGCCCAACTGCAGTGGTTCCAATGGAAAGATAATGGCGACAAATGCGATTTAGGCATTTAAAATCTGTGGCAGGACAACCTTGTTGGTGATCTACCAAAGGTCTCTTTGCAGTCGTGTGCATGCAAATGATGGAGGTCTTAAGATGCTGGTCATTGGGTTGACATCATTTGTTCTCCAGAAACATTCTGCATAGGGGAATGAAGGGTTACAGATTTGCAGACCAATTATTTTGGACTTGTTAAGCGGAAAAGATAAACAAAAAAATAATTTCCTTTTCTGCTTCCCACATGTATCCTGCTGAATGAAGACTTTGGTTGGGAGCAGTTGTAGTATAATGATATTTTATGAAGCTTATAAGGAGAGAAGTAATTGCTGCTTTCTTCAGGGTAATTAAGTCCCATATGAAATGAATGAGTTATTTAAAGAAAAAAAAAAAAAAGCTGTTAAAGTTGCGGGTGAGAAATCAAGGTTTTAGCCTTACTGTCATAGAGCACATTATCTGATGTGATATTGCAGTCTCCTTTGTTTGTGCTGTGTCCAGGAAGCTGTATCATCAAACTACTGGTTATGTTCACAATCTTGGTATATAACAAGAGCTGAAGATGGAAATATTGCTGCGTTTAGTGTGTTTAGTCCTCTATCTCTCCTAGATAAGTGATTCCTATAGCTTATAGGGACATTATATGTGACCATCCAGTATGAATGCTAATTTACAGCCCAGGGTACCTATGCCAAATGCAGAAGTATTTGAAACAGAAAATAAACACTAATATGAATGCTTACATCAAATTAGAAAAGTGTCAAAATAGGACTACTCCCCCACACTCTTTTCATGTTAATCTGTGTTACGTGTTCCTGATCTACTGAATCTTTGACTTAATAGGTATTTCTAGTCCCGTATCGGTGTGTGTGTATGTATAAACACACATTCAGAAATTAATTCTTCTTTAGAGCTTCCCATTTTGTGAATGATGCTTGATGTTTACAGCACATAAGGTACTTTGTGCCCCCGGTGGACCCACTTGACATCAATTAATATAAAATGCAAGAAATCCAATATAGCTGTGTTATTTACACATTGTTTATAAGCCTGCTCAAAAAAAGTGATGGCAGATTAGAAATATTGTGCACTGTCTTTTTTTTCCTTTTCTTTTCTTTTCATTTTTTTTAAGATAAGTATTTTTAATATTTTCTTTTTCTGTTTGAACAAAATACACAGAGAATTAAAGAATATATGGATTTTAAATCATACTGGTACTTCTAATGCATCTAAATTCCTGTATTGTGAAGGTTATTGGTTTGCATCCTGCAAGTTGCTAAAATAATAAAGCACTCAAATGTTTTGTGAAATCACAATATTTGTATTTGAGCTATTTAATATTTTTTTTATTTTTTTGGGGGGGAGGAGGGATTTTTTTAACAGAATGCACTTTATTGTATAAAACAGTAACTTGTTGACTAGAATAGTATTTATTAGAACCATATTCATTCATCTTTTGATTTTGTTCCTTGAAAACACTGTTGATAACCAGTGCACTAAAACATTGTAATGTGTATAAAGCAATGTCTTTTTTTTTGTTTGTTTGTTTTTATTGTTTGTTTGTTTAGGAACTCAAGTTTTGGAAATATAATTAGCTGGTCAGCACACTTGATTTTATGAGCTCAATGGCCCATTATTCGATTGTAACATAATGCATGTTGAAATTATGTCCAATACATTCATAACAAGTCTATAATTCACAAAGGAAGGCTGAAAAACAAACGCTAAACCATTTATTGAAGGCTGTAATGTGGGGCCTGACAAATGTGATGTGCCAGTGTTAAGCAGTGAAAGGCCACCAAAATGAGTGTTTTGAGCTAGAGGTTACAAGCTACTGGTGTAAAATGTGCTTTACTGATTTACAACCCACAAACTTTCTTGCAAATGTATTGATCATTTGAATTTCTTAAGAGATCTGAAGTATTTGTGCTCTGTATGTGTTCAACACAATTTTTTTATCTTTTTCATTAAATCGGGGACAACTTTGTCTCAGAATTTCACCTATGCCTGACACTGGGCGGAACTACAATGGTGAAGCAGTGTCATTTTTCCCAGGAAACTAGGTCTGTCTAAGGATATTCACATGGTAAAAGCACCTGGCAGATAAGGAAACAGGAGTAGAAGAGGACCGTCCAGAAAAAGCATATTCAGTTGTGTTCAAAAGTTTGCATGCCTTTGGAGAACTGGTAATATATGTACCATTTGTAGGTTTTAACAAAATGGCTCAATCATAAAACAAAACATGGCAACAAAGAAAAATTGAAATGATCCCTATTCAAAAGTCTGCATACCCTTCGTTCTTCATACTGTGTATTGTCACCTTTTAGCATCAATGACACCGTGTAGTCTTTTGTAATCGTTGTCTATGAGACCCGTAATTCTTGCAGGTGGTATAGCTGCCCATTCATCTTGGCATATGCTTCCAGGTCATGCAAAGTCTTTGGTGGTCTTGCATGAAACGCACGTTTGAGGTCTCCCCAGAGTGGCTCGATGATAATAAGGTAAGGAAACCGTTATGGACACTCCAGAACCTTCACCTTTTCTGCTGTAACCGCTGGAGAGCTGACTTGGCATTGTGCTTAGGGTCATTGTCATGCTGGAAAGTCGAAGAGCGTCCCATGCTTAGCCTTCGTGCAGAAGAATGCAAACTGTCTGCCAGTATTTGCTGATAACATGCTGCATTCATGTTGACATCAATTTTCATAAGATTTCCCGTTCCTTTAGAGTTAATAACATCACCAAAACATCAGTGAACCACAGTGGGGATGGTATTCTTTTACCTATAGGCCTTGTTGACCCTTCTCCAAACATAGCGCTTATGGCTGTGACCATAAAGCTCTATTTTAGTCTTGTCACTCCAAACTGCAGTGTACCAGAACCTGTGAGGAATGTCAAGGTGTTTTGTGTGGCATTGGCGCAGTAAAGGCTTCTTTCTGGCAACTCGACCATGCAGCTCATTTTTGTTCAAGTATCGTATTGTGCTCCTTGAAACAACCACACTTTTTTTTTTTTGTATATCGAACAATTCTTCTGGCAGTTGTGGCTGAAATCTTTCTTGGTCTAGCTAACCTTTTCTTGGAATCAAGAGATCCCTGAATTTTCCACTTCTTAATAAATGATTATTCATTACTGACTGGCATTTTCAAGGATTTGGATATGTTTTTATATTCTTTTCCATCTTTATAAAGCTCCATTACCTTGTTACGCAGGTATTTTGACAGTTCTTTTCTGCTTTTCTATGGCTTGGTATCTAGCCTACCCAGTGCATCCACATGGGCGCTAACAAACTCACTGAATATTTATACACAGACACTAATTGCAATTTAAATAGCCACAGGTGTGGGAAATTAACCTTTAATTGCCATTTTAACCTGTGTGTGCGTGTCACCTTGTGTGTCTGTAACAAGGCTAAACATTCAAGGTTATGTAAACTATTGATCAAGGCCATTTGGGATGATTTAAAAAGGAGCCAAACAACAATGTGATATAAATGGCTTCATATGATCACTATCCTTCAATGTAATAATGTATTTATTTATTTTTTGTATGATCAGTCAAATTTCCTAAATCAATGCCAAAATTTCACAATTTCTGCCAGGATATGCAAACTGTAGCTCCTAAATTTTCTTTAGTAATTAGCGAGTAGAAATTCATGGACTGTCCAGGTTTGCAATAGCAAGTAGCATAGAAGTAGTGTAGATTTTAAGTATATATATGTGTGTGAAGGCTTTGCCTGGTGTTGTGGGACCTACTTGAGGGAATCCCCTCTTACCTACATTACCTTAGTGGTCTGACTTTCTGCATAGGATTACTTCCAGTTCACGCCTGTCGAGACTTCCAGGTCACGTTTCCTGATGTTCCTGTTCGCAGTCTTTTGGCGGTTCACGGTCTGTTTGATGCCTCCACTCGGCCCCACGATCTCGGGTAACAGCTAAACCGTGAGTCATAACAAAGAGGAGTTAGGCGCTCACTAAATAAACTAAAGGTGGGCAGCAGTGAACCAAGCAGGAATTCCCAATACCTGCTCACAGTAGTAAAACAGAAGAGACAAAAGTGGTAAACCGTGAGTCATACCTACATCTACATTCCGGTCGTGTCCCTCCTCCCCTCCCACGCCACTTGGGGTCTTATCTGGGACCTGGAATGCATGTAGACTCACTGTAACTTTCTACTAAGACCACCCACGGTCTCCACGCTATGACACCTCAGGGAGCGTTTTATTTACATTGCCACGTTTTTTTCTCCCTCTGCATTCCGGCAGGTGAATGGGGATGGGGGGGGATAACACACACTGAAACCAAATAGAGCAATGCAGAGCTACATATTATTATTATTAATGCCATTTATATAGCGCCAACAGATTCCGTAGCACTTTACAATATTAGGAGGGGGGGGAATTTAACTATACATAGGACTATACATATCTGTAATATGCTGAGTATGATATGTTACATGCAGCGCAATATATATCCTTAACATACAGAGCAATATATATCTGTAAACGTGCTGAGCTATACATATATATGTATGTGTATATATATATATATATATATATATATATATATATATATAGAACATGCAGAGAAATATCTATCTGTAATATGCAAAGCAATATATATCTGCACCATGCAGAGCTATATGTGTCTGTAACATACAGAGCAATATGTATCTGTAACATGCAGAGCCATATATATCTGTTATATGCAGAGCAATATATATCTATAACATGCAGGGCTATATCTATGTAACATACAAAGCAATATGTATCTGTAAACATGCAAAGCTAGATATATCTAACATGCTGAGCGATATATATATATCGGTAACATGCAGAGAAATATATACATACAGAGCAATGTATATCTGTACCATACAGAGCTATATATATCTATAACATACAGGGTATATATTTAGGTGTCCTGTTCCATATTTAAATTCTATCCTATTCAAGTGTCAACTCAAGTATGACACAATCCTGGTCGTTAGGTTATTAATTTAGTATTGCTTGGCTAGCATATAGAGCGCAGAGCTGATTATGATCCACCACTTACTGTTTTATGCTCAATTTTGCAGGTTCACAGTGGCTTTATAGAACAGTGTATGCTCTTCAGACCTCATTATTGCTTTCCAGTGAGTAAGGGGAGGAGGGGGGGGGGGGTTACTCATAGCACCTAGTGGGGAGTGCTTCGTTTTGTACAGATTATGACATACACTCCTTTTATTATCATTAGGTATAGGCCTCTCCTTCCACTATATACTTTGGGTGGAAGTCTCTGTTTCTGTGTTGGGATGTGACCAATTTCTGACGTAATTGACAGGCAAGTGGGTTACAGGTACGTTTTGCCTATTTCCCCACAACATTCCCCTCCCCCCATGCTTTCAGTTAGTTGTTACTGGCTTATTCGGGATCTGGTCGACTACTAGTGGTAGACATTTCTTGCTTCTTTGCCTCGGTCACAGTGGACCCGCGAGATCAACACCCTTCCTCCACGCTTGAGGTATATTTGCCTCTTGGGCCAAATCATAGCCGCCTCTCACAGTTGCATAGAGAGGGCCTTCCACAACGTTCGGTGGCTAACAAATCCCATCGCGCCAACGCATAGAGCCTCTCAAGCCACTTGGCATCTAGCAGAGCCTCACCTATCACCATACCTAGTAAATTGCTTCGCCACTTGGCACTGGATAGCCAGCCAGTAATCCAAGCTTTTCAGTTACTGATTTATGTTTGATATTTCTTTTAGTATGTCTCAGATCCCTGAAGAAGCTTACAATGTATCCCTCCCCAGTACTCCTGTCAGGTCCATGTCACCTTCTTGGAAGGGCGACACCGGTAGCCCTACTTCTGTCAGGTCCTGGACCATTCTCCGTATCACTGCGGAACTTCGAAGACACAGTATCCCTTTCCCTGCCACAGCCAGGAAAGCAGAACTATTTAAACTCATTCGGACAAGTACCAACAACTCAGGGGCTGGAGAAGGGACAAGTGGTCCCAGCAATTGAGATCTTCACGCCATGGTGGCCTCATTTGTGGCTTCCATAGGGAGGGTCAATGATAGACTGGATAGGATCGAGGCTCGGAGCCTTCCTATATTATCTTCTGTGCCCTTAATTACTGGTCTACCCGGTTCGCCACTGTTGCAAACTGGTAATATACCGTCAAGTTCAGAATCCCATATCATAAACCCAGTCCTCATGGTTCCTGCCAATCTCAGGAAAGATATCCTGGAAGGCAAGGATGTTAATCTTGTATCACTATGGATTGCCTCTCGTGATATAGTGGCGAATCGCAAATATGCTCACGGTGATATTTCTGTTGTGTTGAAGGCTAGGGACCCTAGACTAAGTAAGACATTATCTATCCCTGATTTTGTCATTGCTTTTGGGATTTATAGGGATGTCATATGCTCTGTACACCCACATAGATGAGAGGAACTAGATCTCTACTTGCATAATCTGGTGGACTTTGGTAATCAATACGGTGGCTCGTCATTTTATGATTACCACTGGTCCTTTTCGGCTAAGGTGTCTGCAATTCTGGCTCAGTTCAACGTCAAAACTGACTGGAGCCGGATGGACACTGAGCTGTTTTGCAGGCACTTTGCACTAGCTGGTGTCTTTAGTCCGTCAATCTGTGCATCCACCTTACATGCCTCGGACTATTGTCCCATCTTACCCAACTCCACCCCTATGACTTTCCCAGGGGCACACACAAGCTCTGACAAATCAGGCTAGGACAAGCTTGGCCGTATTGTTAATTTGGGTAAATCGTAGGTGTTTAATAATTTCATGTAGGTACTTGTGGTTATAATGCCTTCCGCTTGTTGCAAGTGTGTTCTCACTGCTTTAGGGCTCATGCAAAGTCCATGTGTCCAAATAAAACTCTTGCTAAACCTTACCTGATCTCAGTGAATATTGGTTCGCTGGCTCGTGCTTTGGTCTTAAATGGAAAGGTCTGTACAATTTTTTTTTTTTTACAAGACTCACTTTAGGGTCGAAAAGCAGCCCTAAATTTTTCGGCACGTTCGCTGAGAACTTGTGTTGGCTTCTATTGAACAAATGCAGGTGCCATACAGTGATACACTATATGGATGATTTTCTGTTTGTCGAAAATAATTCCTCTCCACCTAGTGATTTAACCAAGGCCATTTCATTTTTTATTTTAAATATGATTTTTATTAATGTATTTGCAACGTATTTTCAACAAAAATAGGCAAGGGGTGGGGGTATGGGACTCGCAGGTCCCTGGAAACAACAACATAAAGTATTTGCTTTTGGGCTCGCAGGCCCCAATGAACGATGCGGACTCGCAGGTCCCACGCATTCCAAACAGCTAATAATGAGTACCTTTGTCCCATGTGTTGCGCTCTTTTTCTTTTTTTATTTTTTTATTTATATTGATAATTTGTTACAGTTTTTATTGCATAACATGTGAATAGATTGGTGGGAACTCGTAGGTTTTCGACCTGCTTTACATTATTAGGTCTTGTGAGGTGCCTAGATTCTCATGAGCAAGGCATAAAATAAGATACGAAGGTCCCTAGGTATCCTAGTCAGATGGGCCATTTCATTTTTTCATTCCTGGGGGTGCCGTTCTCTTCCAAGAAAACAGAAGGCACAGACACTTTGGTTAATTTTTTGGGTATCCTACTCGATTCTGTGGCCATGGAAGCCAGTATCCCTTTAGGTAAAATTGATAGCATCCTGCAGGTTATTGACAAATTCTTACAAGTGGGGACCTGCAATCGCAAGGAATTGCAATCTCTGTTGAGTTTGCTAAGTTTTTTATTTCGAGACTCCTTTGCCTACTCCCCAAATTGTCCAACTATTTTAGTCGTATTTCCTTGGATTCCCAAGCTACGGCTGACCTACTTATGGCGCAAATTTCTGGTCCAATGGAATGGGAGGAGCATGTTTCTCCCACAGCTATCTATACACTCTCCAGTCATCTGGTCACATGCTGCAGCATCCACAGGTTTTGCAGCCATGTTTGGCGACAAGTGGCTCTGGAGTAGTTGGCCATAGGAGGTGCAGCTTATTGAAAGGTTCTCCCACACCTCGGCCTTATTTGAGGTATACCCTATTGTAGCAGCAGCAGCTGTGGTATGGGGTCATTCATGGGCGGGTTGCTTGGTGCGTTGCTTTTCCGACAAGCTAGCTACCTGCTGTATTATTAACAAAGGGCGTTCCTCCTCACTAACTATAATGAGGTTCATTAGGGCACTGACATGGTTGGCAGCCTGTAATCACTTTTATCTGGTTTGTGGTCATGCTCCCGGGGTTTTTAATACTGCAGCTGACAAGTTGTCTCGCTTTGACTTCCAGGCCTTCAGAGAAACACTACCCATGGCCTCAATGATAGCCACTGCCGCCCCTCCATTGCAGGAGCTAGTCATGGATTAGAAGAGTTATTGGATCATAGTCTCCTCTTGACCAACTTGGCCCTTTCGGAAAACATGCGGCTGTCTTATAATAGAGCTTTCTCATTGTAAAAAAAATTCATGTTGCAACATAGCCTTGTTCAGTTGTTTGACATATCATCTCTGGTAGCTTTCGCAACTTTTTGCCACCTTAGACTCAAATTGTCACATAACACTATCATGCTGTATTTAACCGGCATTCAGCACCATGTATATACATTATTTCTAAACAACCCTTGTTTTTGGTCTTCATACCCAATTAAGACCATACTGAAAGGCATACATAAAGCCAGTAACACTACTCCACTTCAAAGGTTACCCATTCACAAACATATTTAAAGGGACACTCCAGGCACCCAGACTACTTCTGCCCATTGGAGTGGTCTGGGTGCCAACTCCCACTACCCTTAAACCTGCAAGTGTAATTATTGCAGTTTTTATAAGCTGCAATAATTACCTTTCAGGGTTAACGCCTCCTCTAGTGGCTGTCTTCCTGGTTTATAGCACAGGTTTTCACCACGAATTCACCATACATAGTAACAGAATCTCACAAGAATGCCTTAAACTATCTTTTCTAGTTAAACATCAAAATACTATGTCCTATCCTTGCCCATTACAAAAACGAGTATGCCGTGTCAATCAGTTCAGATCACTTATCCCACTCTAAATAAATGGTGCCTGTTTAAGGTTCTGGATTCATATCTGCAAACACTACCACCTGTCAGATATCCCTCTGCTGGTCCTCCACGGGGCCATCCTGACTACCTCAAAGTTCATGCAGTATGTACGGGTGTTACTGACTAGACTAGGTTTGAACGCTAGTAAGTTTTCAGGACAGTCTTTCAGGATAGGGGCAGCTTCTACCGCATCTTGTCAGGACATGCCAGTTCATGTCATCAAGTCACTAGGGCGTTGGAAGTCATCCGCTTTCTTTCTGTACATACCTCAGCCTGTGCTAGAAATGAGGTCAGCTTTTGTTAAATTGTCATCTTGAGATATATTCTTTGTATTATGTTTCCATGTATGAATAAATATTATTTGGCAAGACACTTCTATTTTTGACCACTTTATTACGAGACTACCGCATACGTCGGTTTCGGCACACATCAACCGACCTATATATAGGTTACATCAATACACAGCATACATTAAAATTACAATGGTTGCCCTGAACACAAATGTGAAGGCTTTGCCTGGAGTTGTGGGAGGGGCATGTGGGACCTACTTAAGGGACTCACCCCTTACCTACATTACCTTAGTGCTTTGACGTTATGCATGCCCCACCCGCCACTCCCTTAACTCTTTTTCACTACTGGAGTGGGCCAACTTTATTACTGGCCTACCGCATATGTTGGTTTTGGCACACATCAACCGACTTTGTCCTAAATATAGGTTACATCAATAAACAGTATACATTAACATTACAATGGTTGCCCCGAACACAAATAAATATATATATATATATATATATATATATATATATATATATATATATATATATATATACACACACACACACGTGTAAATATATAAATAAATATATTATACTTTATAGCAATGGATGTATCTCTATAGCACCATGATTTCTTAGCTCTTTACAAAAAACACTTCACGATGGCATATGTGTTTGTATGTTTTGCTTTTATTTTGTGTCCATTTTCAAAAAAGTTAATATTTCCAGTAGAGTACTGCTTTTCTGCAAACCATGTATGTCTGGACATATTGTGTTCTCAACTTCTTGTGGTGTTTTCTCCATATTTATTCCCACGCCATGATAATTTTATTAAAACTGACAAAAACCCCTTTGTTCGGTTTGCTGTTGGAATAAAATGGATCATTAATACATAAATAATAGCAAGTCAAAGTAAAAGACAATAGAAGTACTGCATCTATTTTAATGTATAGGCATTTCTTGAGGACATAATAAACAAGAACTTAACTACAGCTTGTGACTACAAGCCTTTTTCTGAAGCATGCTTTTACTCCAAATCTATGGAGAATTGAAAATAGCATCTCCTTATACACATTGTGTAAGGAGAAGACTAGCATTGATTTTACAAATTCCTTCTGGTAACGTAAACGATCACAGGAGATTTGATATTCAGTGTTTACTTCTCATACCATGCATATTCCATACTGTGTTTCTTCTAGTTTTATTTCCTATTTGCTGCAATTAATACCTAAAATATGTGGATATGTTTTGCAGCCATTTTTTAAGTGGAGGATGAAATGGCTTCATTGGACTAGGGTTCACAATCTGATTATACTGAATAAAATAGCTAATGTATTGATAAAATTGTTAGCAAAAGTTTCTGGCTAGAGAAATTATGTACTCTTATACATTTTTGGATGCAATACACACAGCCTTACAGACCAAGGCTTAGAGAAGCAGTTATATTTAAGACAATGGGGGAGGATGGGGTGTGTGTGTCAGACTATTAGAAATGTTAAAAAAAATAGTAAAGGAACACCATTGTTTGTTAATGTATGCAAAAGACAGTTAGTGTTGCTGTTATCCCTATTAATCTTGTGTGTTATAAATAATCTTGTCACAGATATAGATAATAGATTAGAATGAAAAGCAGGATGGTGGATTTTGTTTTCAGCTATATTGGACTACAGTTTCCCTTAGGAAACGTACAGTATAGCATCACCGTTCTAAAATGGTATATATTTTACATATAAGGTTTCACTTAATTTACTGTACCTCAGTATAGAGATACAAGCTATAGGTATCCCTACAGAGTGCCTAGAAAACTTGCATCACTAAACAGAGGTACAGTAAATTACAGCTACTTTAAAAAAAACAAGCATATAACCTAAGAGAGATGATGGACATGTGTGAGACAAAACGTAAGAGAGGCAGATCAGGTCAATTCATAAGACTGGATGGAATGGACATAAACAATAAATTATACCCAAGCTATTATAAACAAAACTGAATCCTAGTAACAAATACTAGATATTCTATATACCGTATGTAGTTGAAGTAAATGTATTTTAACTATTTATTTATTAATAAGTAAGCCATCATACCATAAAAAATAACGAGCTCCCTGAAAAATACCATCGTGCTTTCCAACTTCACTGCCTTCCAACTCGACTCCCAGGTAGACATCTTCTCTCCCGCAAAGGTGGCCCTTGTATTGTATTGTTCCCTTGCTTATTTTACCTCCTGGTCTTGAGAATTTTACTAAATGTCCGACTCTCAGGTCTGCAATACTTTTTGGAGCAAATGGGCGTCGAGGTAAAATGGACAAATAGGGTCTGTTGAAATGAAAGCAATGATTAATGCACACAAAAAAAAAATTGTTCTACAGTAAATTGGCCAGATTTTCAAACGCAGCCACTCTATACCTTGAATACCTTTTGTTGAAACATGGAATGCTATTAAAACAGATGAACTACAATTACTTGTCATCACTGCAAGCAGCATCCATTTCTAAAAATGCACTTTTAAATATAATAACATTATTTTGATTATTTTTAACTTGCCTCTTTGCTCTAAATATATATTCCAATCTCACTGTGGGAGGAAAATATGAATATTTCCAAATGATGCATAGAAACGCCAGCACTTTCACTCAAACCTTTGCCAGTTCCAATTGTTGTTGACCGAAGAGTTCCATTCAAAACTCTATAAAAGCTTTCAACAGGCAGATCATTCTAGGATGTGTTAGCTACCAAAAGATGCGACAGCAAGGTTGGACTATTGGGAGAACTGAAAAGGGTGCAGCAGTGCACTTGGTGACCTGATTACATGGCAATGCTATCTGGGAGATTTATGTTCTGTTGTAAGAAGTGTTCCAAAAATGTAAAAGCATGGTGTCACCAATGTCACTTGAAGGTCCCACTGGTTTTCAAGGTGATTGCTTTACTTAGTATTTTACAGCAGAACACTTTGAGAAATCTGCCCTTATGAGCTCTATTAGGCAAACTCTGGAGACAGAAGGTGCTGCATATCTGAGATCATGTATTTGAGAACTTCTGTTGAGGTACTGGGACTTGTATTGCTTTCCGTCTATTTTCTATTTATTACTGCCATTTTACAAACTATCATATGGGTGTCTATATTATGTACATTACTTTTCATTTATCCAAAATCGTATATTAAAAAAAACATAAAAATTACAGGAGATGTCCGTTTTACAATTTTCCAAACAATTTGACATATTAGAATACAATGACAAAGTGCTTAAGGTCTGTTTATTGTAGATCTCAAGACTGCTTCTTCTGTTGTGCAACACATTTTAACAATGCCACCCATAGCTATTCAGTTAGTTACCTGGGGTTCCGAATGGCTGTGCTTGAGAAAGCTCTAACAGGTCCAGACTTTGGGCTCTGGTGGAGTGAATTCCAAAGATCGCTGTCTTTACTTGGACTAGCATAGATGTTATCACTACCCAACTCCTCCAAAAAGCTGCCTTTAATATATATTAAAAAAAATAAAAAAAAAATAAGAAAAATACTCTTAATACATATTCATGTGTGGTGCATCTTAACCCATTTACTGCTTTAAAGTACTAAGTTGCCCTGTGCTCGTTTTTTTATTTTTTTCAAAGAAAGTATACAATTTTAAATATTTACTGATAATTGTATTATTTATGTCTGTACCTTTTACGATATATACACAGTTATATAAATTGTATTTTACGTGCTTTATTTTATTATATTAGGAGATTTCCCAGCAAAAATATATATTTTCTATTAACTTTGTGTAAAGACATCTTTCGAGCAATCCTCGGCATATCCACTATAGGAGAAAGTAAGAGAAACTTCTACACGTATTTGTAGTGGTGAAACCTTTCAAGGTGCATTCCAGAGAACAGTACAGGTTAGGTGCAATGATTACAATTTAGCAATAAAGGGAAACTGTCACCATTTAAGTGGCCCTCCGCTCGCCCACTTCAGAGGTGAGTGTTACCCATCTCTGGTCTTCCCCACGACATCCTTAGTAATGCTAAAATCTAAACTAAACAGAGTTACTTGCTGATTTGGTGAGCGTTCATTGCAGAAGATGCACTACCTGAACATTTGCAGCAAATGCAGGAGCTTCAAATCTATTTTTCTCTCTCCCTCCCCACATATATACATATAATAATAGTGTAGATTGGATTGCCGTATTAGTCCAGTATGCGAAATGCCAAAATAGCAGGGTATTGCAGTATACAATGATACCTTTTTTTATTGGACTAACATAATATTTCAAAGACAAGCTTTAAAGAGTTTTCCTCTCCTTCAGGTCTGAAGCAATACTGATCAACCTGTTAGAGTTTAACACATAAAACAACTGATGTTAGAGAAGGGGCCATAAATAGCAGAAGATGTGCCTGAAAGTGAAAGGTGCAGGTTGGTAGAGAATAGCCAGAAAAAGTTAATAAACAAAGTAGACTCAATAAGCTAGTTGAAAAGAGAGAAAAAACAACAAGAAAACAGCAGAGCAGGGAATGCAAATATATAGCTGCATATATGTATGTATAAATTGATCCAATAAAGGTGAAGCAAGAATATTGAAAAAGAACTATATAAGACATTAAGATGTATGTTTATAAAACGTTTTGGTAGTGTGAGAAAGCTAGAGTCTACATTAAGTCCTGCTTTTCTGGTGTTAAAATGTGTGATCATTTTCATCTCAAATGTCTTTCGTTCATGAGAGTCTTTGAAATTCCCTTTAAGAGTTGTAATCCTGAGGTTTTGGATGGAGTGACCAGTCTGGGTGAAGTCATGACCAACGGGGTTACAATATCCATTTTCCTTGTGGTTATTGATTGAATGTCTGTGTAGATTCATTCTGAGATGCGGCTTAAGGCCAGTTTCTCCAATGTAGCAACCTTTGTCACATCCTGTACACTGCATTGTGTACACCACATTTGCAGATGTGCACGAATATGATCCCTTAATGTTGTATAAGTTGTTATTGTGTCTGGCTGTGGTTTTGCCACATAAATGTTGACACAGTTTTCAGAGTGATTTGTTGCATTGTACAGTGCCATCCTGTGTGAGCTCCTGTTCTGTGGTTAATTTGCTGCAGTCCAATCTCTGTCTCAGGTTGGGTGGTTGATATTTCTTTGAGCGTGGGGTCCTCTGAAATTAATGGATGTAGCTCTTTAATAATTTTACGTACTCCTTCTACAGTTGGGTTGTATGTAACTACTACATGGATTCTTGTTTTTTTCCTTTTCTTTATATTGTAGGAGCCTTTCCCATGGTGTTTTTAGGGCAGATTTTATTTTTTTAGATGTTGTCCTTTCCTTGTAGACCTTTTGCCTAAATGACTGTAACAGTGAACTCAGGTGCTGATCTCTGTGTTTCGTGTTAGAGCAAATGTGGTGATATATAATAGCCTGGCTGTAGATGATACCTTGTTTGGTGTGATTGGGATGGAAGCTGGAATTGTGGAGGTAGCTGTACCTGTCTGTGGGTTTTCTATATACAGACAAATGAAGAATGCCATTGGTGTAAGTTATTGTGCAGTCCAAGAAACTCACACTATGATTTGAAAAGTTCATTTTAAGGTTTATTGATGGGTTGAATGAATTGAATGATTTATGGAAGTCTATAAGGTTTTCTTATCCTACTGTCCATATTATGAAAATATCGATGTAACAATAATAGGTATATGGTTTGTGGGGCTGTGTACATAAAAATCTGTTTTCCAGGTCAGCCATGAAAAGATTAGCATATTGGGGTGACTTTTTCTGGCTATTCTCAGCCAACTTGCCCCTTTCACTTTCAGGCACATCTTCTGCTATTTATGACACCCCACTTCTCTAACATCAGTTGTTTTAAGTGTTAAACTCTATCAGATTCATCAGTATTGTTTCAGACCTGAAGAAGAGAGGAAAACTCTCGAAAGCTTGTCTTTGAAATATTATGTTAGTCCAATAAAAAAGGTATCATTGCATACTACAATACTCTGACATTTTGGCATCTTATCTACTGGACTAATACATTGAATCTACAATATATATATTAATTAATTAAATGAATGTGTTATTCCCACCCTGGGAATTATTGTAATTCCATTACCCCTCATATTAACCACTTATTTCACAGTCTTGTTAACTTCTTTTATCTCTCATCATGACCATACTTAACGGAATTGGAAATTTAAATATGATTATTTTGGCTAAAAAAATAATATTCCAGGAGCTTCACAACTCAGTGAATAACCATGTTTATATGGGAATTAACATATAAGTAATAAACAGTGGTCATCAAGTGTTTCCAGACTTACAGGTATTGACTGACTGAGAAGGTTTTTCAGGGCTGTCCTCATTAAATGCTGTGATTAGAACATCCGTATTTTCACTTGCCATGGATAGTGGGGATGGACTGCTTTTAAATCGTTCTTCGTGGTTTCCTGTAGCAAAAACAGTTTTGGATAAATAGGAACATCTGAACATGCACCCAAAGATAATATTGGACACATTCCCAAAACCCTTTTCTTTCTTGATTATTTTTGATTTGAGGTTTATAACTCAATAAAGATAACAGACTTCCATGCAGACTTGGCATTTAAAAGTCTTCTTAGGAAACAATGCTGTTCCTTGCTCTCATTACAATCTAGTTCTTTAACCAGGGATGTCCTGCTTATTTAAACCATCATTGGTTTTCATGGGGTTAAGAGCTGTATATCTTGCTAGATTGTACTCCTGATTGAGCACAAGAGTGTCCTCAACCTTGAATGCATGAGATGGAGGGTATTGGTACCCTCAGGGAAGGTGGTGGCAAAGGCGGTTTGAGTGCATAATTGCCTCCCTTTCATAAATTACTTGTTAATATACCTATCATTAGTTTGTGGGCTTGATCTACTTAGGACATCTCTTCTGGATAGAGCCCCTGGAAATACATGGATTAATTCAGATCTTTAGCATAGCACCAATATATATTTTACATGCAGCTCACCAGGCTTTGTTGATTTACAATTAAAAGGAATTTCGAAAAAAGGCTAACTCTAAAAATGTGTAAATAATAAATGGATGCCAAGTCGAGAAAAAGAAAAATGAGACACTAATTTATTTAAGACTCAGCAATGGAAGAGAAAGAAAAATTGATGTAGACAAGCTAAGTAAAGCTGGAATAAATAGTAATTAGGATTAATTGGCCTAAGGAAAGTGGTAATAAATCCAAGACTTAATGCTTTATGCAACATCTAAATTTAGTACAGCTCCATTTTCTTCTGAGAAGTTCTATGATATATAAAATATATATCTCCAAAAAAATACCGGCACTCAAGGAGTTTCCAATCTTAAATTTTCTTTCATTCCAAGAACGACGTCAACGTTTCAGCTCCCCATGGAGCTTTCATCAGGACCCACAGGACACACACACACACACACACACACACACTTACTTTATCAGCTGTCAGACAAAACAAAAAGTATAATGGCACAATAGAGGGCACCATGTATAGATAATTTATTGTGTATCTCCATGATTGGCTGAGTTTAAGGAATCAGATATTCATGTGTATTATAGTATATGCAAAGGTTAACATTTCTTAGGTCAGATCAGTAATGCGTTTACTTTGCATAGGTAGAAAAAAATAATTAGAAATTCAACAATGTAAGACTCCAACCCCATCTTTAATCACTGTTGCATGTAAATGGAAATTGCTGTCAAAACTTACTTTCCCAGGATCCTTTTATGTTCAAAGAACCTACAGCTGTTTTGCATTTTGAAAAATTTCCATCAACTTTAAAAGCATCATTCCTGTAAAGACTAAAAGTTGAGAGACGAAGTCAAAGTGGTACTTTGTTATCAGGACTCCGTACAGGCTCGTTTGTTGCGTTTGGAATGGTCACAGTAAGGTACATTTGCATTTTAATCAGTTCTTCTCATAAGTATTAAAACTTGAAAAGATTACGGTCAATAAAAGGAAACCCATAAAGCATCAGCTTGTATGTGGGTCATCTTATCAGATATGCATCCAGAATCAAGATGTAGAAAACTTAGACATTTTAATGGGATTTATATTGTACATTCTCATTTGGAATGTAAATATATTGATGTAGGAGTATAACCACAAGAATGCATACAGAATGGTATTTCATTTAATATTTACATTGCTGCATTGCTAACATAAGTTCTGAAAATGTCAAATATTAATTCTAATAAAAAATTTTTGACTGTACATATTTAGAGAATAGATAGCAGTGAAACATATATTAAAAGAAAATAATGTAATTGAGGGGTTTGGAGACCTAATAAATCACAAGAACGTAATGGATGTATAAATTAGAACCTTGAACTCTATTCCTCTAACATATTCTTTAGCATTATGTACCATCTATAGAGTACATTATCTTACATAGTTAGTGCTAGAGTTGTGGCTTGTGTTACTGTTCCTTTTGTGTTAGGGTAGCATACACACAATGCACCCAAGATTGTTTGAAGTTATACTAATGCAGCTGTTACTATTTCCAGCTGCCACTATTGATTCAACTCGTGGTTGCCCATGCCAAAGCACCTAGAATACCCCAGTCTAGTGATATGTACTATGTATCATACAACATAGTAATGTAATTTTAGAATCACCTGTCCTCTTCTGGATTCCAGTTACTTGAGTAGAAACATTTTGTAAAAGATTCATTCTTTAGCCGGTCTTTTTCTACTTCATCTGCAAAGAAATTGTACTACTTTGAACATTGTGTTTCAGCCTAACAAAGTCAATCAGATTTTGGATTCAATTGCACTGGCAACTTAGCAAAACATTCTCTATCAAAAAACAAAAACAAAAACAAAACCATGAATAGATGTCAATGTATTTCTAGATACTACCAGTGTTGACTATGACTAGCCCACCAGCATGGAAATGGTTAAAATAAGCCATTGTGATAGATATCTTGTGCCATTCCTACGTCACACTACAGGGAGAGAGTCATAATTAGAAATGCTTTCAATATCCATATATATAGTCCGTCACATGAATAAAGGTATTGGTCCATGGTAATAAGTAAAATTCATATGCTGCATGAAAATCAGATAATATAATGATCCTTCAAGAACCACTCCATAGAATTAATGGATTTTCTACAGCACAGGGCTACAATATAAGAACCTAGGTCAGAAAAATAAGATAAAAACACTTCAGTGTAACAGCTTCTTATCTTAAAGGGACACTTTAGACATCCAGACCACTTCCTCTCATTGAAGTTGTCTGGGTTCACTGTTTTGGGTCCCTTAAACCTGAGCAGGTAATTATTGCAGTTTTAATTAAACTGCAATAATTACATGTTGGGGTTAACTCCACCTCTAGTGGCTATATACCAGACAGCCACTAGAGGGACTTCCAAGCTTTTAGGCTGTTATGCTTTCTTATAGGAAAATCCTAGTGCGACTGAGGCTATTGCCCAGATAATGGACTGAAGCTGTTTTTAACCTCTTCGGCTCCATGAGGGAAGGTTTGACAAAAAGGGAAGCTATAGTGCCAGGAAAATTAGTTGGTTTCCCGGCACTATAGTTTCCATTTAAGATGTGTCAGGAATATTTTAGCACATAAACAGATTGAGCAATGTTTCTGTCACATCACCTTCTTCAGGCTTCAACAAATGGTCAAGAAATCAACTCTAGTTGTGGTTCGATCAATGTCAGATGTTTAGAAAATAGTGTTAGAAATAGGTTAATTCTATTATACAAGGAACATTATATATGTTGACTTTACCTTCCGCAGTTGAAGAGCATGTTTTACTTTTTATTAAACATTCATATTGCCTTTTAACATCCCGCAGCTCTTCCTGCAGATGGTGATTTTGCTCACTCAGCTGGTGACTGTGGATTCTCAATCTCCTGCACTCGCCCCTCAAGTGGGAGATTTCCTTGTGTAGGTCCTCTTCATAATTCTTTCTTTCAATGAACCTGCTTGGCATGTGACTGAGCTGAAATAAATTAAACATACAACAAAAAGAAAAGCAAGAAGAGAAGAAAAAGTATAATAAATGCCTATGTATACCTCCTAGTTGGGGGATAACCCCTGTAGAGAGATGAGAAAAAGAGAAGAAGCAGAGGATACAACATACTATATAAACAATGGAATACTGAAAGAAATATATATATTAAAACATAACTTTTAATAAAAGTATAAATCCCTAAAAGGTCTCAAGACAAAAAGACCCACTACAACACAAAACAAATGTGCACATACACACAACACAAATTAAAAATGACAGAGCCTGGTCCATACTGCACCAAAAATGGTGGTAAAAGCCACTAAGACAGATTAAATGGAAATCACTAAATCATATGTCAGTTAGACTGTTTGGTAACAGAATGTCAACTGACAAAATAAATAAATTGTAGGTACTTACTAGGTGGCCACCAGTGATAATACTGATTCTATCAACAACTATGTATCACACCCGCTATAGTAGTGTATCTAAAATGTAACAAAAGTAGCTGTCAGCGTCTGTGAGATAGATGTCTGATAAAGAGCCTGACACTAAAGGTGAAAAAGTTTTCATAAGTGCTATGATTATGGCTTACAGCTCATGAAAACCCCAAATCCACAATCTCGGTAAATTAAAATATTGTGAAAATGTGCAATATTCTAGGCTCACAGTGTCCCAGTCTAATCAGCTAAGTAAGCCATAACACCTGCAAAGGGTTTCTGAACCTTTAAATGGTCTCTCATTCTGGTTCAGTAGGAATCACAATCATGGGGAAGACTGCTGACCTGACTGTTGTGCCGAAAACCATCATTGACACCCTCCATAAGGAGGGAAAGCCTCAAAAGGTAATTGCGAAGGAAGTTGGATGTTCCCAAAGTGCTGTATCAAAGCACATTAATAGAAAGTTATTTTGAAGGGAAAAGTGTGGAAGAAAAAGGTGCACAAGCAGCAGGGATGGCCGCAGCCTGGAGAGGATTGTCAGGAAAAGGCCATTCAAAAGTGTTGGGGACTTTCACAAGACTGAGGCTGGAGTCAGTGCATCAAGAGCCACCACACACAGATGGATCCTGGACATGGGCTTCAGATGTCGTATTCCTCTTGTCAAGCCGCTCCTGAACAACAAACAGCATCAGAAGTGTCTTACCTGGGCTAAAGAAAAACAGACCTGGTCTGTTGCTCAGTGGTCCAAAGTCCTCTTTTCTGATGGGAGCAACTTTTGCATCTCATTTGGAAACCAATGATCCAGAGTCTGGAGGAAGAATGGAGAGGCACACACTGCAAGATGCTTGAAGTCCAGTGTGACATTTTCACAGTCTATGTTGATTTGGGGAGACATGTCATCTGCTGGTGTTGGTCCACTGTGCTTCATTAAGTCCAGGGTCAACGCAGCCGTCTACCAGGAGATTTTGGAGCACTTCATGCTTCCTTCCGCAGACAAGCTTTATGGGGATGCGGACTTAATTTTCCATCAGGCACCTGCCCACACTGCCAAAAGCACCAAAGCCTAGTTCAATGACCGTGGGATTACTGTGCTTGATTGGCCAGCAAAATCGCCTGACCTGAACCCCATAGAGAATCTATGGGGCATTGCCAAGAGAAGATGAGACATAAGACCGAACAATGCAGAAGAGCTGAAGGCAGCTATTGAAGCATCCTGGTCTTCCATAACACCTCAGCAGCGCCACAGGCTGCATTGAGGCAGTAATAGCTGCAAAGGGGCCCAAACCAACTACTGAGTCCATATGCATGCTTATACTTTTCAGAGGTCCGATATTGTTTTATTGATTGCATGTAATATTCTAATTTACTGAGATTGTGGATTTGGGGTTTTCATGAGCTGTAAGCCATAATCATCTATGACAAATCAAGACTTGAACTATCTTGCTTTGCATGTAATGCATCTATCTCATATATTAGTTTTCCCTTTTAAGTTGCATTACTGAAATAAATGAACTTTTGCACGATATTCTAATTTTTCGAGTATCACCTGTATCAGTCGATAGTACTTTAACATTTGGCCATCATGCTCTTCCCAGGCGCAATTAATATTTACTCTCATGGTGGATTAACAAGGGCTTTCACAAGGTCCAAGACCTGAACCCTGAGCCTATGTCAATCCAAATATCTTCATTGCTCACAACTTTTGCACTTTATCTATTCACATCTATCCATACATCCATAGGGATAGGACACTAGGTTTGAGATGCTGTGAAGGGGGCTACCGATTTTCACGGTGAGCTTCTCTAATAAGTATTTACTTTTCAGACTAAATAATTAATAGACATAAGAGGAAACTTAAGTGAACTGGAATAACTGTTAGAGAATGGTGTTACAAAACAATGACCAGAAGGTATATAACCCTGGACAGGCCCCACTACATATATCCAGTTAGTTCTCAAAAATAATTTTGGGGTTTAGGCAAGAGGGTAAGTGCACTCACCTTATTGCCATCATGAGGGACTTATTAGCCCCAACCCACAGACAAAAGCTTTTCAACAGATATTTAAGTGGATCTAGCCTTTACTGACCAAATTATTGGTGCACCAGATTTCTAATGCTTCAGGATTGGACATTGCTCAGACATGGACGACTTCTCTCCCTATCCTCCCCTAGATTACATTTTTTTTTTTTTTTTAAATAGCCGCTTTAATGAAAGGGAATATGGTGAAGCTCTCTAACACCACTCCACCATACATTTCTGAAAACTGTAGAAAATTAGTTAAGGAAACACCACCCATTTCAAACCCTTCCCACATCATCTTTGCTTAACATTTCCTCTTTCTCTAACTTCTAGCCCAGCCTATGATCCTTAGATCACTATGTGATCTAACATCTCATGACCTCCTATGTCACCGCTGTTGCTCTAACATTGTAGAGCCAATCTTATATGTAGGACAGTGACCCTGGTTACATCACTTGAGTTAATTATTATTATCAGCATTTATAGAGTGCAAACATATTCATCAGTGCTTTACAATTATCAAATGGGGATATTAGACAACAAGAACTTGACAAACAGAATACAACAGTGACCAGAGGTGAAGAAGGCTTTCACTCCAACTCAAAACGATACTCCCTCACTATTATAATCTGACTTTTATTCACGGTACAGTAAATTCCCACTGCTCAACTGTCCAACTTTAAAAAGAACTGTATTTTTGCAGTCCTATTGTTTGTATTATTCATTTTATGATGGCCATTTAGAAACTAAGGGAACTTATCTAACTGAATATTCTAAGCGCGTAATTTTTTCTAATAATTTAAAATTGCATTTTAATTATTATGAGAGTGTATGCATTTCTAAGTATTAAGTCACTTAAATTAAGATAATTTTCTAACCTTCTGGTCATTAACTAAACACTATTATTGCTGCAAAGGAAAGAGCTATAGCGTTAATCAGCTGGAATGCATTTCACAAAATATGCATGTTTCTGATGTATTTTAGTTGGTAATGCATTAGACCAGAGCATCGTACATCACATAAATGATTGCAATAAAAGGGTTTTATAGCTAAAAGTGTTAGAGAGGATAGATAAAGACAGGAGCACAAGACATCAACAGAAGAACAAAAAACTAGTGGATGTTAGGCCAAATTTTCAATGAGTAATAGAAACATAGATCTAGAGTAATAGAAACCATTTTATATATTACTTACTTATATGACTTCTGCTTTGTCATGCACATAGTATAGAAATTAAAAACAAACAATTATTCTCTAAAATGGACTGTTTCACCTATACGTTTTTAAAGAATAGCTATGATTGGATTTTGGCTGGATTACAGTGGCCTTTTGACATTCTGGTAGTTGAAAAGTATAATACAATAGACAGCTTAAGGTCTACTGTGTACTGACTGCTGCAAACTTGCTCACTCACTTTGTCAGAATACATGGATTCTATTGTCATTGTTCCAGGTCCGGTTCATCTACCCTGAGTTTGAGCGAGCTTAACCTCTATATACAATTGTATTTAAAATCATTAAACCCATATTCAAAATCAGGTTTATTTCAGCTGTTTGCAATGAACAAATCAAACAAAATAAATTAAAATAGCTCAACGCAATGAATGCTTCAAGTGGTTTCCATAAATTCAACTGAAAATGCAACTTTCATTCAATGCCTTCACTATCTTTTTGTATCCTGTTCCTTGTTTCTGAAAAGCGATGATCCCTTCCGTTAACTTTGTGGACCATTCTTTTGATTTAGCTGTATTTCTAACATGCAGTCAAACGTGACACTCAACAAACCACTTCAGGTATTTCAAGTGTTTCAGCTCAAGCACACCTTGTGCAATTAATGCTTGATTAGTTGCATCAGGTGTGCTTGAGATAACACCTGTTTTGCATATTTGTGCTGTTGTGATGGATTCTATTCAGGGGGTTGAATAATTTTGAAACTGGAGAATTTGGAGAAACCACTTAAAGCATTAATAGTGTTGAGCTATGTAAATTGCTTTTGTTTGATTTGTTCATTGCAAACAGCTGAAAATTGTAAAAATAAACCTGATTTGTAATACTTTTGATTGCAAGTGAATGGTTGCTAGTTTCAAAATCACTTTTCAAAAGAAAAGTTGTTTCAGACGATATGAATTTTATCCAGTTTGGATGAATTTTGTCTGGCCGATCATTTTGGACAACCAAAGGGAGTAAATATTGGCCAATCAGTGTACAGCAAAATACAAATATTATGTATATATTTTGCAGTACATTGATTGGTGAATTTTTACACCATTTGGTTTACAGATCAGGTGAGAAGAATTGGGCAATAGAGTGAAAAAGAGGAGGAGCAGAAAAAATCTATATAATATATATTTATTAACTTTTACTGCTCCTCCTTTTTTCTTTTGTTAAATGTGTGACCCAAGGAGTTCCTACAGCAAACTCATTCTACACCGTCTCCGCGTATGCGGATCTATGGAGATCGATTCGCCCACTTATTCAACTGCTTGAGCAGTTTGGTTTCCTGTGGGGTGCATCATTAACCTCAAAAAATCCTGTGCCATGCCATTCCATATGGATGCCCAGGACGTGGTGCTGCCTCAGTCAGTCCAAGTATGGGCTCATATCCAGAATCACTTCTCCTAGGTATCCAGTTGACATTAGACATGGCATAACCAGACCACCAAAACTACAGCTCCCTCATACGCACACTCAGAGCGAACCTGTACAATCGGACTTCTAAACCCATATTGTGGATGGGTGGGGTGCATGCAATAAAAATTATGTACTGCCTCGTATCCTGTTCTACTATCATGTGGCATGCTCCACCGGAGGAGAGATGGTGGATGCATCTGTAGTCAGGGTTGGTGGGATCAGATCTTCCCCAATTTTATATCTGGCTAGACCAACAATACAGGACCCTCCCCAGGACTGATAATATTGGATTATGGGAGAGAGCAAAGAGGAAGTTGGAACTGGTCTCAGTACCTTCACCCATGATCCTACTGAACAGGGAACTTTCCTCCCAGTAATCTAGAGACTTCTCAGGGATAGAAAGAATAGGGCTTCAAAGAGTGAAACATTTGTACAAAAACCATACTGTAGTCACTTTTGAGGTACCGTCCAAGCCAAGGTACACCTGTGTAACGGATCACCTGGCACCCCGACTGGGTACCTCCGTTGAAGGATGCTCCTAGCGCTTCCTGACCTGAGGACTCCAAGCACTGCAGCAGACACCAAAACCACCGAACCGTAGGAGCATATGAATGCTCTCAAGCATATAAATGTTGTATACAGCAGAATAGGAAAAACCATGCGAATAGGTTTACACTCCTAGCAGTCGAACTGGAACAGCATACAATAAATCCTCCCCCAATAATGAGACGACACTTCACTTTGAGGGTTAAGCAGGAACTGACTGTACTGGCACATACAGCCTCTTTTATTCCCAATCCACAAACTTAGTACTGTCCACAGGGTTTTACAGAACAACCAATCAATCTGTACAATACACACACTCCCACACAAAATCCTCCCCTCTGCCTGTGATATGATTACTGAACACAATGGGTAATCTAATTATCACAGACAGAGAAATACAGTTTCATAAAACACATCACAGGGACCCCAAAACATGCAATAACCCCATAAAGTATATCCTTGGAACCGGGGGATCTGGGTGAACCACATATCCAAAATTCACCCAGATCCGTTCAGTACTTTGGAAAATACAGTTTAATGCAGATTCTGTAGAACATATACAGGCTAAATAAAAAACAATCACTGTATAATGTGTCCCCTGCTGTATAGTCCAAAACCACTGCACGATGTCTCTGTGCACCAAATACTGGCGAGATGGCACCGTGTTGAAAAGTCCAAACAGTGTCTGTGAGTTAAAATGGCCGCCATCCATTGTTCTCACCATGTGCTTCTGATACAGGAAATGGTGGCCACCCAGTAACTCCACAGTATGTCCCCAGATGGTTCTTAAAGGGCCAGCAGCAGCACAACACAAATCCATTATGCCCAAATCATGTCTTTAAAGGGCAATACATCCCAGGGGCCATAGTCAGTGGCGAGGTCGGTTTCGCCACAACCTGTAACTCCTGTGTGATTTCTTTTGATACATTCAGACTAAAGATGTTGCTTCTAGACATAGAGTTAAGTGGGCAGCAGAGCAAATTCTTATTTTCAAAAATGTGTTTGAGGATGGAGCAGGATGGTAGGGATTGATCACAATCATCTATAACGCCATCAGATAAGAATCCATGAGATGGGGGGATCGGGCACATGTAAAGCAATGGCAGGCAGAGCTGGGGGAGTGGGAGCAGAAGAGCAGGTGTAGCAAGAGATCTGGGAGGCCGCAAGTATGTTATCTGTTTGTCTGGGCTACAACAACACGCAGTAAAAATGATGATGCGTTGATACACTACCCCAACCAAGATATACAGAATGGGTAGAGGGGCTACAGATGGGTGGTGGGACTTCATAAAATTACAGCCATTATGGCAAGAACCTAAACATGCAGAGTGTAACACAATAAATAGACTAGACGTGTACCAGTTCTTAGAGTGGCCGGACTAATGGTAGAGGAGTCAGAGAGAGTGCCGAGGTCAAGGACAGGAGCGATATGGATAAACGATATAATAAACCAAGGTCGAAGAATTACAGAGATCAGGAGAAACGATTAAACAAACAAGTCAGATACCAGGAAAAGTATACACAAGGAACACACTCTGCGGCTTCTAAAACCACAATAGGGCAACATGGAGTGGGAGAGGTAAGTATATATAGGCATAACTTAATTTGTATTGGTCCACGTCATAAGTGAATTCCTTATGATTCGTGGATGGTAGAAATCCTTATTTGCATAATTAGACATGCCATAATTATGCGCCAAATATGGTCTGGCTAATTTGTCATTCAGAACCGAATCTGGTCCGGTGAATTTGCCATTCAGACCCTATTTCGGCTTCCCACTAAACCCAAGGTGAGCAAGTGTGCAGCATCGCAGAGAATGCTGGGGACTCAGGTAAGACACACTTGCTTGTGACAAGAGATAACTGCCACACAATCTTTTGAAAAAATATGGGGTGCGTTGCTTGGGGGTCGGTGGTCCTGAAGTGGATCATTTGCATTCTATTGGAGCACTTCCAGTAAAGCATTGTGGCTACGAATTGAGTAAAGTCTAAAGGGTCGCAGTTGACCTTGTTTTTTTTTTTTATCTTTCTTTTCTGTTTTTGTTTTACTTTGCTCATGGCACTCGTTGTTCACAATTTGTCTTCACTTTGGAAAATATACATCCTAGAGATTTTTCATTGACCACAAAGTATTTAGTAACCAGGATAACAACGCAGTCAACTTAAATACACTTTATGCAGTTATTTTTCTACTCAGTGTTTTATAAAATATTCGGTCAAGGATTACCCTTCCAACAGGGGAACTTTCTACCGCAAATGTATACTATGATCTTGACATCCTGCCCATTTGCAAACTTATGTAACTGCTTTTGTCTAACATTTTTGAAACATGGCATTGTTAATGTATACTTATGAAACATGTTACAAATGTCTCCCCACAAATATGTACTATTATTTGACTGTCCAAAAATAAAGAATTTATTTTAAAAAAGTACATTATCAAGATTATGTATAAAACTATTAAAATAAATGCAAATATCCGAGTCATACACTATTAATGTATAAAACTACCTTTTCAGTAAGCAGTTTTATTTCTTCTTGTGAATCTTCTAATTTCTGGTTGTATTCGTCTTTGAGCTTTGCCATGTCCTTCTTTTGTTGTGAAATTTCCTCGTCAGCTTTGGCTAGTTCCAAAACTACACTTTCATTGGCTTCTTGTAGGTCACTAATCTGGTTTTTGAAACTGACTGAGACACAGATTGAGAATATACAATTAGTAAAAAAAAACAAAAAAAACAATAAGAGCTGTGATAGGATTAATTTGACTACTTGCTGAGTTTCTTTGCATTCAATAGTTCTTTATTAATCTATGATTCTTTTTTAGGAATGTATGAATAACATTTGGAAAAAAAAAACTGCTCCACAATTTTGAGATAAATTTAATCGTAACCTTCAACCTATCAGATTTGATTCCGGTTTGTATTAAAATAACCTCTATGGTGTCTGCTGATTCCATAGTACTGCACAGTATGTTAAGAAACAAATAAGAAAGCATATAAACAAATTAGTTGATGGGGGTCCTGCTCAATTGGGCACACAAACTAAGGCAGTGGTTGTCAACCCATCCTCAAGGACAATCACTTGTGTAAATAGTGTGGGGTATAATTACTGTAATATGGTATTTTAGAAAATTGTTTTGAACCTCCAAAAAATGCTAAAGATAGTGGTGATGATGCTAGGAGTAACCTGGCGCCGTTCCTCGTTTGCCTCTTACTTAAGTCTTACCAGTGTTTTTCCTCCTCTAATTGCAGGTGAATGACATCTGGCTTCTGCTGAACTGCAGAAGCAGGATGATGATCCTGCTGGTCAATCATAGGCTGAGAGTGTTAACTGAGCACTTTCAGTCAATGAATTAACCTCTGTGCACAGAATATCCACAGAAATGACATTAGCCAGCCGACATTAGCCAGAACTCTCGTTCCGGGATTGCTAAAGATGCTGTCGGAGCAATATAAAAAAAAATTAAAAAAAATCTGTGCTGTGTTTTATACTGAACTGATGATACACATACAATGTCCTTGTACCAATTTAAGTGGTCATGGTGCTTGGAGTAACCCTAAAGCCATACAAAAACAAAGTTACAAAAAGTTAAATTTGTAACTTTGTTCATTTTACATACAATATTCATAGTATAATACCAGTGATTGTTTTTTAGAGAAAGACCTGTGTCATACATTAAACGGAAGCACATTTTCAAATTTACTTCAGTTTAGAATTAACAAGATTACCTGCTATTTTTTCTATGGCATTTTCCCCTCGTGGATGTAATGTGTGTGTGTGTGTATGTAGTGGATGCTGTGCGTGTTTGTGCAGTGGATACTGTGTGTGTAGTGAATGCAGTTTGTGTGTTTCTGTAATGGATGAGGTGAGTATAGTGAATGCAGTGAATGCTGTGTGTGTGTGTGTTTGTGCATTGTATGCTGTGTGTGTCTTTATGTTGGACAAATGCTGTGGGAGGTGTTTTTTTTTATCCCCCCCCCTTCCTGCCTCTTACCTGTAGTCAGGGAAGGGAGACTCTGGATTCCCTGGTGGTCCAGTGGCTAGGCTTGTTGTAGATGAAAGAGGGGCCCAGAAGTCTCTATCTTCCCCTGCAGTAAATCCTCTACTTCTGATGCGAGCCCGGCATGCAGGGGCATACCTAGAGCATTTGGCACCTGGGGCGGATCCTGTGTTTGGCAACCCCTTCTCCCCTCTACACCCTTCAACAAAATCCCTGCACTCCACACACACAGTTACATGCATAAAGTCACACACACTGTGTGGCGAAACCGACCTCGCCACTGGGCATTGGAGAAGACTGATTGCCAGCCTCCTGCAATGTGACTATGGCCCCTGGGATGTATTGCACTTTAAAGAAATGATTTAGGCATAATGGATTTGTGTTGTGCTGCTGCTGGCCCTTTAAGAACCATCTGGGGACATACTGTGGCGTTACTGGGTGGCCACCATTTCATGTATCAGAGGCACATGGTGAGAACAATGGATGAAGCACATGGTGAGAACAATGGAGGGCGGCCATTTTAACTCACAGACACTGTTTGGTCTTTTCTACACGGTGCCATCTTGCCGATATTTGGTGCACAAAGACATTGTGTAGTAGTTTTAAACTATACAACAGGGGACACATTATACAGTAATTATTTTTCATATAGCCTGTATATGTTCTGCGGAATCTGCATTAAATTGTATCTTCCAAACTACTGAACAGACCTTGGTGAATTTTGGATATGTGGTTCACCCAGATCCCCCGGTTCCGAGGATATACTTTTATGGGGTTATTGCATGTTTTGGGGTCCCTGTGATATGTTTTATAATACTGTATTTCTCTGCCTGTGATAATTATATTAACCATTGTGTTCAGTAATCATATCACAGGCAGAGGTGAGGATTTTGTGTGGGAGTGTCTGTGTGTATTGTACGGATTGATTGGTGGTATTTCAAAACCCTGTGGGCAGTACTATGTTTGTGGATTGTGAATAAAAGAGGCTGTATGTGCCAGTACAGGCAGTTCTGCTTGACCTCAAAACGAAGTGTCGTCTCCTTATTGGGGGAATTGGATTATATGCTGATTGCCAGGAGTGTAAGCTGATTGTATGCTTTTCCTGTTCAGCTGCTTACAGCATTCTTGAGACCATTCGTATGCTTCTCCGGTTCAGTGATTGTGGTGTCTGCTGCGGGGCTTGGAGTCCTCAGGAAGCGCTAGGAGCATCCTTCAACAGAGGTACCCAGTCGGGGTGCCAGGTGATCCGTTACACACTGTTAAAGGCATACAGTCACACACAGTCGTAGCCAGACAGTCACACACCCAGTTACAGACAGTCACATACACAGTCACAAGCAGACAGTCACACACATACACACACACACAGTCACAGGCAGTCATACACATACAGACACAGGCAGGCAGTCATACACACACACAGGCACAAACACACACATAGCCACAGGCAGTCATACACACATACACTCCTTCCCTGGAGCCTGTTAGTTGGAGAAGCAGAGATTCCTTCTTGCTTTACCTCCATGTGCAGCAGTAACAGCAGCGGGTAAGGGCTGTGTTAATCTCTGATCCATCTTTTCTTAGCTCCGCCTCCACTTTAATTCTGTACGGTATGGCCAGTTCAGCTGGTCTCTGCGTGTGTGAGCTGTGCCGGCCATCCGGCACCCCAGCTGCCATGGGGCACTATGCAGCCCCACAGCTCACACATCCCCCTTCAGCACTCAGACCAGGGTCATGGCATCCAGGGAAGACTGCCCCCCTTTAGTACGCCACTGCGGGATGCATTGCGTGCCAAGTAGCGTTGTCATGTCAACCAACGGTAATGCTTTACAGCTGCGGCTTGCAAAAATGCCGGACGGGGTGCTCAATGTCCTGGGCCCTGCTTGGAAGTGTATATATATAAAACGTAGTATATATATAGCGGCACTCTACTTGCATTTTGGAGGGTAGGGGACTGCCGGGCCCTTGACAACCATTATGGTTGTAATCCCCTGATGGCTACCCTGATCACGCCCCTACTATAAAAGCCTTCTCATGACCTGGATGCTTTGCTTAGCATTCCTATTTATTTGCTTCTCTTCACCTCCAAGCTATACTAAACTTGCAGACTATCTGAACCTCAACCCCGACTTGTCCCGCTTCAGTCTGGCTTCCGTTCCCAACATTCCACAGAGACTGCCCCGAAAATAATAACTTAGTGATGGCAAAATCCAAACACCATTATTTCCTATTTATTCTTCTTTATCTTGCTGGCTCTTTTGACATAGTTATCCACTCGATTCTCTTCTTCCCCCTTCACAACCTTGGTCTTGGTGATACCACTCTCTCCTGGTTTTCTTCCTACCTCTCTAACCACTCCTTCAGTATTTCCTTCTCTGGTACCTCCTCCCTTTCTGAACCTTTCTTAGTTTGAGTTTGTGAAGACTCTATACTGTAATCTCTTCTTATTTCAATATACACTGCCTCTTGATGACATGATATTATTTTATGGGTTTCAGAATCACCTGTACTCTGATGATCCCAGGTCTACCTCTCCTCTCCTGATCTTTCTCCCCATCTGCTGTATTTTGTCACTGACTCCCAATTCTAAGTCTCTGACTAAATGACAATTTCTAATACTCAACCTTTCCAAGACCAAACTCCTTGTCCTACCTCTAAGGCTAGGTCTTTCTCTGTTACTCTTCATAACTTTGACCTTCCCTTCACTCATTACATAAAATCTATTGCTAAATCCTGTCACTTTAATCTTAAAAACATTTCTCGCATTTGCCCCTTTCTTACTCAGGACACGACCAAAATGCTTGTTCATGCGCTCATGGTTTCTCTTCATTATTGTAACCCTCTCCTTATTGGCCTGACAATTGCACAAATTGCTTCTCTGCAGAATGTAATGCATGTCTCTGCCAGACTCATCTACATTAAATCACTCAACTCTCATACTTCAATTCTCCATTGATCCCTGCAATGGCTTCCCGTTTCATTCAGGATTTGTTTCAAAGTTCTTGTGCTTACTTGAAAAGCTCTCCATAATGTAGCCCCTGCCTATATCTCCTCCATCATGAACAAATATTTTTTCACTCTGCTGGTGACCTCTTACTATCCCGTTCTTGTACATCCATCCCAGACTCATACTTGCAGAACCTCTCCAGGGATGCCTGTTATGTTTGGATTGTTTTTTTCTAATATATACATATATATTCTCATTAGCTGTAGGATATTATACATTGAAGACTCATGACATTTTAAAAAGGTTCACTCAGCAATGAAAACCTTTTTTTTTTTAAAGAGTTATTCCAATCACCATGACCACTTCAGTGATTTGACATGGCCACAGTAGTAGGAGTCTGGATGTGCAGTATTTAAAAAAACAAAAACTGCTTCATTATGCTCAAGTTATTTTGGTGACTATAGTGTCCCTTTAAATTTGAAAGCTATTTTGAATTCACTCTGAATTATCACTTTAGTGAATAACCCTGTATATTTTAGGTTGGGCAGACCAGTGACAGATTTTGCACAGTTGAAGCCTGTAGGAACACAAAGGAGACATTGGAAGTGTTTTGTAGCCTTGAAGCCCACATACATAGGCGTCAGCAGGATTTTTCAACTTCCTCCCTCCACACAGGCACCAGGATACCTAAAATGCCTTTGAAATAATTAAAAGAAGGAGAGAAGTGCCGGGGGGATGGAGGGAGGTGCTTGGGGCCGCATTTAGGGAGAACTGTGAGGCTCCCTTCCGAATCCCCAGCAATTCAGTGCCTCTATGCTCTGCCCCTGCACTCATGCTCCACCTCCCTTTGCAAACCCCGCCTCCACACAAGCTCCACCCACACTCACACTGCTGACCTTGCCGGAAGGAAGAGGAAAGAGCATGTAGACTTTACCTCTCCGTGCTCCCAGTCTCCCACAGCCTTCTGTGACAGCTAGGCTTCAGTCCATGACAGTGTGTGTGTGTGTGTGTGTGTGCTTCTGATAGTGAGTGAGCGTGTGTGTGCAACAGTAAGTTTGTAGTGAGCATGTGTGTGTGTCAGTGAGCTTGTCTGTAGTAAGCATGTCTGTAGTGAACTTGTGTGTGTGTCAGTGAGTTTTTCTGTAGTGAGCATGTGTGTGTGTGCCAGTGAGCTTGTCTGTAGTGATTGTGTGTGTGTGTCAGTGAGCTTGTCTGTAGTGAGCATGTGTGTCGGTGAGCTTTTCTACAGTTAACATGTGTGTGCCAGTAAGCTTATGTGTAAGGGAGCTTGTGTGTGTTAGCTAGCTTTTATGTAGTAAGCATGTGTGTCAGTGAGCGTGTCTGTAGTAAGCATGTGTATATGTGTCAGTGAGCTTGTCTGTAAGTGAGTTTGTGTGTGTCGTTGAGCTTTTCTGTAGTGAGCATGTGTGTGTGTCAGTTGGTTTGTTTGTAGTTAGTATGTGTGTCAGTGAGGTTTTCAGTAGTGAGCATGTGTAGGTCAGTGAGTTTATAGTGACCATGTATGTGTCAGTGAGCTTGTCTGTAGTGATCTAGTGTGCGTCAGTGAGCTTTTCTGTAATGAGCATGTGTGTGTCAGTGAGCTTGTCTGTAGTGATCATGTGTGTCGGTGAGTTTTTCTTCAGTTAGCATGTGTGTGTCAGTAAGCTTATGTGTAAGCGAGCTTGTGTGTGTTAGCTAGCTTTTCTGTAGTAAGCATATGTGTGTCAGTGAGCGTGTCTATAGTGAGTATGTGTGTGTGTGTCAGTGAGTTTGTAGTGAGCATGTGTGTGTCAGTGAGCTTGTCTGTAGTAATCATGTCTGTAGTGAACTTGTGTGTGTGTCAGGGAGTTTGTCTGTAGTAAGCATGTGTGTGAGTGTGTGTGTCAGTGAGCTTGTCTGTAGTGAGCGTGTGTGTCACTATGTGTCTGTAGTGAGCATGTGTTTATCAGTGAGTTTGTCTGTAGGGAGCATGTGTGTCGGTGAGCTTTTCTACAGTTAGCATGTGTGTTTCAGTAAGCTAATGTGTAAGCGAGCTTGTGTGTGTTAGCTAGCTTTTCTGTAGTAAGCATATGTGTGTCAGTGAGCGTGTCTGTAGTGAGCATGTGTATATGTGTCAGTGAGCTTGTCTGTAAGTGAGTTTGTGTGTGTCAGTGAGCTTTTCTGTACTGAGCATGTGTGTGTCGGTGAGCTTTTCTGTAGTGAGCATGTGTGGGTGTCAGTGGGTTTGTCTGTAGTTAGCATGTGTGTCAGTGAGCTTTTCAGTAGTGAGCATGTGTATGTCAGTAAGTTTATAGTGACCATGCATATGTCAGTGAGCTTGTCTGTAGTCATCTAGTGTGTGTCAGTGAGCTTTTCTGTAGTGAGCATGTGTGTGTGTGTCAGTGAGCTTGTCTGTAGTGAGCATATATGTGTGACAGTAAGCTTGTCTATAGTAAGTTTGTGTTTGTATACTAATGAGTTTTTCTGTAGTAACCTTGTGTAAGTGTCAGAGTTTGTACTAAGTTTGTGTGTGTGTACAAGTAAGCAGAAAAAATAAATAAATAAATAAATATATATATATATATATATATATATATATATATATATATATATATACACATACACTACATGGCACAATGACTTATGGGGCTGGCATACATTTTTTCCAGGGCTGCTTTGTAGCCAAAGTCCAGCCCTGCAAAAAGGGGCCAAGCATGGAAGTCATTACATTTATGCCCTCCCCTGGAAAAATTCCTGTGGACGCCCATGCTCACATACTTTGATTTGACATGCTAAGGCACTTTGTGTGATTTTTTATGTCAATACAATCATCACAAATAATGATTATATTTAACATAGTTACATAGGCTGAAAAAAGACATGGGTCCATCAAGTTCAGCCTTTCTCAAAAAAAATCCAGTATGTAAGCGCGTTCCAGTTTTGCAACAAATTAGGAAAAAATCCTTCTTGACCCTAGAATGTCAGTCAGATCTCTTCTTGAAGAAGCTGTTACCCCACATATTCAAATTACATATATGAATATTATGTTTTTGCACCTCCATAATTTGCATGGTGAAAAAACACACAAGAAGAAATATTCTGAAACATTACCTATTTGTTGCTGAAGTACTGCAGGTGAGTTAGGGTCAAATAAATTCAATACATCCTCTTTTTTTCTCTCTTTGTCAAATGTCATTACCTAGGAGACCAATAATAAAAGATATTAACTTGAGGGCACTAATCTTGAAAGACAGTAGTTAGAACGGTTACACAGATTCATGTGAGGGTTGTACAAACTGGGCTCTATGGATTGCCTTTAAGTGCTTTGCTGTGGGTCATTGATACCATGTAAAGCAGATGCAGTATTAAAACATGGTATATCTAAAATGAAAAGAAAGCCACGCAGAGAAATGGGTTTTGTGTCAGTACAGAACTTAAAACTAGTGGTTGCTGAGTGAGGGCAGGTATAAACATAAACTAAGATAAATACATTTACACATCCGACCCCTGCAGCTTTTTTTGGATTACTTGCACTTTTTCTTAACACCTGTAGTGATCCTGAATTTATTTGAATGATTATTGTTATTAACATTAAAGGGACACTATAGGCCCAAAACCAATTTAAGCTTAATAAAGCATGTTTAGTGTATTGATCAAGTCTCTGCAGTCTCACTGCTCAAGTCTCTGCCATTTAGGAGATAAATCATTTTTTTTCTGTTTATGCACATATAGCCACACCTCCCCTGGCTGTGACTCACACAGCCTGCATAAAAATCACATTTTAATCACACACAGGAGGGTCCTACAAGCTATTAACATAGCTGGAGATAAGAAATTCTATTTCTAACGCTTTACAGGAAGTGTTTAGGAAGGCTGTTCAAGTCACATGCAGGGAGGTGTGACTAGAGCTGCATAAACAAAGTGATTTAAATCCTAAATGACAGAGGATTGAGCAGTGAGGCTGCAGGGGCATGATTTATACACCAAAACAGCATCATTAAGCTCAAGTTACCTTGGTGAATATAGTGTCCCTTTAAAAACAGTTTACTAGTAATATCACAAAGTAATAAGGGGGCAATGTCACTTCCTACTATTTTTAACATTATGTTGTCTCATCCATATATTATACAAATATGTGGGGGGAAAAAATATGGAAAAAAAATAAAAAAATGTAGAATTCCACATCTCTGTATATCATAGCTCCCGTTAATCATTGTTACAAGCTCTGTCCTTTGCACCTGTCAGTCAACAGATGGAATATTAGAACTAAAACAATGTTTCTCTTTCATCTCCTCGTATGTATTTTGTGCCCTGGCTGTGCATGACCTGGACTGGACTGTGATATCATTTGTTGAATCTTTAATATGTATTTAAAAGGAAACAGAACATCGCATGAAAATAAAGGTTCACACAGCTAATACATGATTTTCAATATTTTATTTAATGGTCTAAAGAATTAATGGTCTCCCTTTAAGCATAATTAATCAATACCTCAAATTCTCTTCTAAGTGTTTCGATTTCAGAGAGAAGTAGATCCTTTTCTTCCAGCAATTGTAGGTTCTCAGTTTCTACTCTCTTGAGTTCTTTGCTGAGATCATTTATTTTAACTTCCTTTTCTGTGAGAATGGATTTCAGCAGTGACACAGAGATATCCTGTGATGTATTGGGTTCTATGGCCTACAATCAAAGAGAATTGATATTGTAATCAGTGTTGTGTTATGTGTGAACGCAAATACTTTAAGGCAATGAAGAGATAGGAGTCCCACGAACAGACCATTAAACTTGCTATTTTAAGCTCCAGATGTCATAGTTTACAGCAAAAAATGCTTGAAAGGCTGCCTCTCAATTACCTCGCAGCCTACATCAATACTTTCGTTCAACAGATCAATACATGTTACACCTGCAAACTGCAAAACAACTCATTTATGTTATAAGCAATATAGCTGAATCAATATTAGAATATTATTAAGTCCTGCAAACCACAGAAATCCCCAATGCTGGGCTGCACCCTCAACATTAGACATGTGGCACATTTAGCTGTGCTAATGGTACTGTTACAGGATCAATTTGACATTCCTGAGAGGTATATTATTTAGCTTGTGTTTTGTAAAACTATTGAGTACTTTTATATTTTTTGTCTGGGTGGATTGCTGGCAGGTAGCACATGTAAGTGTCTTATAACTGGCAATTATGTGTGTGTAAATGTGTAGATTTCCTAGTTTATTCTTCCAGGGCAGTTACATAGTGGCAAAGGTGTCTAGGTTGAAAAAAGACTGACGTCTCTCAAATTCAACCTTCAAACACATTCTTTTATGCCGTTGATCCAAAAGAAGGCAAATCCTACACCCCAAATAATTATGCCACAAAAAGAGGGGGGGAATCCTTCTTGACTTTATAATGGCAATCAGATTTCTCCTCGAATTAACAACCGGTTTACATACATATCAATTATATCCTTGAATATTCTGTTTATGCAAAAAAACATCCAAACCTTTTTTTTGAAAATAGCTATAGAATCTGATGGCAAACTTCTGATAAGCGGTTTGTACTGACCCTATATATATTTGTATAGTGCGATCATATCCCCTTTCAGGTGAATTTGTTTTTTTTTTTAAAGAAAATGAATAAAGTTTTTCTAGTCTTTCCTCATAGTTGATGTTTTCCACCCCCTTACTAATTTTGTAGCTTGCTTCTGCACTTTTTTAGTATTGCAATAACATTCTTTAAAACTGGTGCAGTTGAGGATTTGCAGACGTTAGGCAGATCATTTATAAATGATGTGAGTAGCAGGGGGCCGAGTATGGAGCCTTGGGGAACACCACACGTGACTGGAAGAGGGAGGGAAGCGCTATTAGAAATGGCCACATATTGCAATCGGGCTGAAACATATCATCGAAACCAGGTTAGTGGACGATTACCAATGTCTGAGTTTTTACGTTTTTGAAAAAGAATGCCATGGTCTACTGCAGGCATAGGCAACCTTTGGCACTCCAGATGTTTTAGACTACACCTCCCATGATGCTTTGCCAGCATTATGGGTGTAAGAGCATTATGGGGGATGTAGTCCACAATATCTGGAGTGCCGAAGGTATCCTATCACTGGTCTACTGTGTCAAAGGCCTTGGCAAAATCAAGGAAAATAGCTCCAGTTAAGTCTCCTTGTTCCATGCCAATTTGGATGTCAATGCAAACTTTTAAGAGGGCAGTTAAAGTTGAGTGATTTAGACGAAAGCCTGATTGATTAGGGGTCAGATAATTTGATTGTTGATAGTATGCACATGTACACCAGGGATTCATTGCTAAAGGTAGTGGCAGGTTTAGCAATTGCTGGTGCACTGAGCTTCAGGTAGATTCCAGCAACAATGATAGTTTTACTGAAAACGATCTCAATTGTGCCAGAAAGAAAATCAAAAGGCAGAAGTTATAGCTTTTTAAAGGAGTAAATTTTATGAACTTGTCAACATAAATAACAATGCATCCTCCTCTTTTTGCGCTGTCATTTCTAAAACATGAATAACCCTGTATTGCAATGGCGGAGTCTGGTATTTTAGTTGTTAACCATGATTCTGAGAGCACGATGATTTTTGATTTGTAATGGGAACACCAGGCTTGTAGTGCATCCAGTTTAGGGAGCAAGCGACGGATGTTGCAGTGCACAAAAGAGAGGTCTTTTTTTAGTGGGGAGATTAGGACCAGAATTAGCTGGGGGACCAGGGTTAGACTCCACATCAGTTGCAAGGGCAAGTAACATAAGGAATAGGAATTTGGACATCATTTTTGTTTGGCCATATAGTGAATGGGATACTTTATAATTTTGTGAGGTGGGGGTAGGAGGGCTATTTTATAAAGATAATGAGGGGGGGGGACCTACTGTCCTCCCCCACCCCTGGGCGGCGGGTGGGGGGCCCTAAGTCAATGCCCCCCTTTTTGCGCTCGGGTTTTTTCTTTTTCGTCGGGTTTTTTTTTTTTGCGCTCGGGATTTTTATTTTATTTTCAATTCGACGGTTATGTTGGTTTTTTATTTTGCCTTTTTTGGGGCTGAAAAACGAAGATTTGAGAAAAAAGAAGACGTCGAATGGTAAGTTTAATTTTATTTTACAGGTTAGTTATTTTATTCCCCCCTCACTATTTTTTAGGGTGAGGGGGGTAGGTAGGGACTTTTTATTTGGGTGGGGGGGTGGGTGACTAGGGGCTTGAGAACCCCTAGTCACCTTGGTGGGGGGGATTGACTTAGGGCCCCCACCCGCCGCCCAGGGGTGGGGCCCCGGGGGGGAGGACAGTAGGTCCCCCCCCTCATTATCATTTGGCCCCCACCCGCTGCCCAGGGGTGGGGGCAGGTGGGAGGACAGTAGGTCCCCCCCTCATTATCTTCATGGCCCCCACCCGCCGCCCAGGGGTGGGAGCCGGGGAGGGAAAGTAGGTCCCCCCCCCATTATCTTCATGGCCCCCACCTGCCGCCCAGAAAATAAGGAATACAAAATAGGTAATGTGGGGGGCTTAGGGGCATTTGGGGGTGACTAGAGTGTTAGTTAGATGTAGAGGAGGCCGGAGGGGGGTTAAAAAAAAACAAAAGCAGGATTCGGCATGACAGTGCAGCTTTAAGAATAACAGTATAGTCATATTTGCATTCATGTTAGTGGTATGAGGTGTGTAGATGAAAACAAAGCACAAATAGTACAAAATAAATATAAAAAATTAGGGGTTAGCGGTAAAAAATTTGTTACAAGTGTAAAAAAATTTAATAAGTAAAAAAATGTAAAAACAAGTTTTAAAAAGTAAAAAGGTTTAAAAGAGTAAACAAATACATAAAAAAATGCTCATTACCACAACATCTGGAACAAACTAATGAAAAAAATGATCCTACGTTAAGGTTCAAAACATGCATTTAGAAATACCCCAGGGTGTATTCTTTCAAAAATGATATGCGTTTGTGGGGCCATTTAAATAACCAACCAGCTAAACTACTCCAAAATGGAACATGGACACAGATTAAGACTTCAAAAGTTGGAAAAAAACTGAATGGATCTGTCTCAAATGTGCCCCTTCAACATCCACATATACCTGGCAAAGGTAAATACGGGGGTATTGTTGTACTCAGACAACATAGCTGAGAAACACATGAAATATTATACAGCCATAGCACACATAAGATTTGCAAAATATACGGTGCAAACTCACTTTGTGTGTAAAAAAGGCAAAAAAAAATGCTTATTACCACTACACATGGTATTAGCGGAAAAATGATCCCATGCCAAGGTTCAAAATATGCCTTTTGAAATACACTGGGATGTCTTCTTTAAGAAATGGCATGCCTTTATGGGGTAGTTGGAATATATAGTCTGCTAAAATACTCCAAAATGGGATATGGACACAGCAGAAAAATTCAAAGTTTGAAAAAAAAAACAACTGGAATGGATGTGTCTCAAATGTCCACATATATCTGGCAAAGGTACATATGGGGTATTGCTGTACTCAGACGGCATAGCTGAGCAACATATGAAGTATTATACACCCGTAGAACACATAAGGTTTGCAAAATGCACTGTGCAAACTCACTTTGTGTGTCAAAAAGGCAGAAAAAAATGCTTATCATAGGCGTGCGCACGGGGTGTGCCGGGTGTGCCTGGGCACACCCTAATCCCCGTGGCACGCCTATGGTTTGAGTCCTGCAGGAACAGCGTTCCTGCACTTTTTTTGAGCAGGAACGCTGTTCCTGCAGGCACTCAGCGCCCCCTGTTTCACCTCTTGCCCCTGTCATGGGGGGGGGCAAGAGGTGATGGATCCCCCCCCTCTCTGCAGCTCAGCCGCGGCGAGAGAGCTCCCTGCTGTCTGCTCTCTGCTCCCTCTCGCCGCGCGCTGATGCCGGGAGCCGGAATATGACAGCAGACAGCCCGCGCGGCGAGAGGGAGCAGAGAGCAGACAGCAGAGAGCTCCCTCGCCGCAGCTGAGCTGGAGAGAGGCGCCCGTCCCACTGGACCCCAGGGAAAAGTCCACGCCAGCACTCCAGGTAGGAGGCTGGGTGGACATTGTTTTTTATTAAAATATAATAATTTGTTCTTGTGTGTGTGTGTGTCTGTGAGTGTGTGTTTGTGTGTCTGAGTGTGTGAGTGTGTGTGTGTGAGTGTGTCTGTGTGTGTGTGTGTCTGTGAGTGTGTCTGTGTGTGAGTGTGTCTGTGAGTGTGTGTCTGTGTGAGTGTGTCTGAGTGTGTCTCTGTGTGTCTGTGAATGTGTGCCTGTGAGTGTGTGTCTGTCTGTGTATGTGAGTGTGTGTGTGTGTGTCTGTGAGTGTGTGTGTGTACGCATATATATATAAATATATATATACACACACACACAGAGCCGGCGCTATCTGAGTGCCGGCTCTACTCTAAGCCTCCATGGGCCGGCGGGGAGACCAAAGATCTACCTCACCGGCCCACAGCAGCATGGAGGGAGGCAGGAGAGGACCCAGGGAGCTCTAGACAGAAGCTCCGCCAGGTTCCTCTCGCGATATCTGAGCGTTGCTGCGGCAACGCTCAGATCTCGCGAGAGTTAACTCTAGCCCCGCAGGCTAGAGTTCACTCTCCACTGGACCACCAGGGATAGCACATGGCAGCAAGGATTTACTAATCTGCCAAATCCCTCCAAACATACAGCACACACACATACAGCACCTACACACATACAGCTCACACACACACAGTACACTAACCGCACCCTCACAAACACACACAGCACCTTTAAAAAAAAACACAACACCCTCACACACACACACAAACAGCACCCTCACAAATACACGACACTCACACAAACAGCACCCTCACAGGACAAACATACACACACAAACACCCTCACACACAAACAGCACAGTCACAAACACACACACACACAAATACCCTCACATCACACTAACAGCACCCTCACACACACATCACACTAACAGCACACACAGCAGTGTATGTGTTTGTGTGTGTGTGTATGTATCTATATATATACATACATATATATATATATATATATATATATATATATATATATATATATATATATATATATATACACACACATATATATATATATATATATATATATATACATACATACACACACACACCACACGGCGGGTGTTTGTGCTTTAGGGTGCACACCCTAATGCAATAGGCTGCGCACGCCTATGATGCTTATTACCACTAATGGTAAAAGCTAAGGTTCAAAATATGCCTTTTGAAATACCCTGGGATGTCTTCTTTAAGAAATGGTATGCCTTTATGGTGTAGATAGAATATGTAGCCTGCTAAAGTGCTCCAAAGTGGGACATGGACGCATCAAAACCCTCCATGAAAATTCACACTTAAAAACCTGAACTTGTCAAGTCTGTTTGTTGCAGATTGTGTGGTCCCATGAGGTTCTACATAGCCACAAGCTGAAGAAAGGTGATGTCTGTACCTGCAGGGTACAGTGTCAGGTTAGTTAAACTTCCACTTCACCCCTAGACCTTCACATACCAAGATGGAGTGTCACTTTAGGGCGTTTGCAAAATACGTAAAGACTGTCACAGGTGACAGTGCTAATTTAAATGATTATTCTAAAATTCAACGTTTTCGGCATGCTGTTATGTCTTATCATATTTTGAAAAATAATGTCAGAAATGCTACCTGGGCGTGTAATTTCTAACATATCGTTCCTATTATTATTGTTGCTATTAATTACCTTTGATTAATTACAATTATTACTATGTTAGCTAATTGTAATTATGGTGTATAGTAATTAAAATTAGAACTTATTAGCATTGGCATTCTATAGATAGAAAAAAAGCTGTGAAATTGAAACAATTTGCTGATTAATGGCATTAACTCAGTAGGAAACTTCTCAGTAAAGCCAAATAATTGAACATACATACAGTGAAGGCATACATATCAAAGGGAAGATTGTTGGGATATTTCAGTGATTATATTATTTCATGGCACCTATTAGAAAAGCATTTTAATCACGTTAGGTAAACTTTTGTTTTTATTTTGGTGAATAACTTCACTTTGATGGAAAATGCCAATGTTTTGTATAAAAGGGACACTATAGTCACTAGAAAAACTACAGCTTTTTGTATTTGTTCTGGTGAGTATAATCATTCCCTTCTTGCTCTTTGTAGTAAACACTATAATATCAGAGAAAATGCAGTGTTTACATTACAGTCTAGGGACACCTCCATTGGCCACTCCTCAGATGGCTACTGGGGCAGTGCTGCACACTCTCACTTCTGCATGAAGACACTGAATTTTCCTCATATAATATAATATAAAAGTTACACATCTTAAAGAACATAATAGGGGAAAATAATGCCATGTTCGGGTTCAGTCAACATATTCAAGCCATTAGACCTTCGGATCACTGTTGAGGTATCCAGAATTTGTTATATAATATGTATATTTTTATGGGAAGATCATGTTTTAGAATTACACATTGCACATATGGTGATCAGTGTACCCCTCCCCCCCCTTTAAGCGGTTCTCATGATACATCTAGTTTCTTCCCAAAGTGTTATCCATTATGCTTTAAATTAAAACCAACTTACCACAACTCATTGTTTAGTGACTTAAAGGACCACTATAGTGCCAGGAAAACATACTCGCTTTCCTGGCACTTTAGTGCCCTGAGGGTGCCCCCACCCTCAGGGTCCCCCTCCCGCCCGGCTCTGGAAAGGGGTTAAAACTTACCTTTTTCCAGCGCTAGGCGGGGTGCTCTCCTCCTCCGATCCTCCTCCTCTCCTCCCTGTCGGATGAATGTGCATGCGCGGCAAGAGCTGCGCGCATTCAGCCGGTCACATAGGAAAGCATTCAGAATGCATTCCTATGGACGCTGGCGTGCTCTCACTGTGAAAATCACAGTGAGAAGCACTCAAGCGCCTCTAGCGGCTGTCAATGAGACAGCCACTAGAGGAAATAGGGGAAGGCTTAACCCATTCATAAACATAGCAGTTTCTCTGAAACTGCTATGTTTATGAAAAAATGGGTTAACCCTAGCTGGACCAGGCACCCAGACCACTTCATTAAGCTGAAGTGGTCTGGGTGCCTAGAGTGGTCCTTTAACTTCATACTAGAACATATTTTTCTATTCAACTTAAGGACAGATGAAAATTGTCCAACCTCCAATTCTGCTATTATACTTTAAATGTAACGCTAAGCAACATATCTACTACAGCTCACAGTAGTGGATACATTGCGTAGAATACACTTGCCACCAAGGGACATGTCAGAGGTGGCTCTAGACTTTATGAGGCCCCACACCTGAGGTCCCACTAACAGAAAAGTGACAAACAAAAAAGTAACAATACATGCACACTGTCACATATTCACATTGATGCACAGTTTACCTGTGTATGTGCCTGAGAGTGTGTCTTACAGAGAGTATCCTTGTGAATGTATGTCTCTGTGAGCATGTTTGCATTTTTGGCTGGGACCGTATGTGTTTGGGGTAGCTGCTTGTAGTGTGTTGTGTATATGGGGGTCTGCCTGTAACCTTTGTGCACTGTGTTTATGGCAAAGCTATTTTCCTGACTGTGTGCATGATGAATCTGGTGACTGTGACAAGGTGAGTAAAGGGGTACCAGTGGCAGGGAAAGTGTGACAGGGCGAAGGGAGTAAATGGACAGGGTGGGGTGGGGCTGGGTTGTGAGAGAGAATGAGGGACAGGGAGTATGACATGGTTTGATGAGGGAGTGTGACAGGGCGAGTGGATGTAAGAGTGTCAGCGCAATTGTGGCAGTGTGACAAGATTAAGGGGGGTTAATGTGACAGGGTGAGTGTGGCAGAGTGAGGGCAGGTGAATTTGGAAGGGGTGAGTGGTTAATGTGAGTGTGGATGCATGAAGAGGCTGACAGTGTGGGGGGTGATGACAGTGTAGGGAGGGGTGACAATGTGTGGGGAGGTGACAGTGTGATGGAATGCTAACAGTGTGTCTGGGGAGGCTGTGTGTGTGAGGTGGGTGATACTGTGTGTGTGGGGGGATCCTTTGTGTGACAGGGTGATGGTGAGGAGGGGTGATGGTAAGAGGGAGGGGGTGATGGTCAGAGGGATAGAAGGGTGATGGTGTGAGGGAGAGAGGGGTGATGGTGTGAGGAGAGGGTGGTGATGGTGTGAGGGAGAGGGTGGTGATGGTGGGGGTGATGATGATTTGAGGGAGAGGGGTGATGGTGAGAGGGAGGGGTGATAGTGAGAGAGAGGTGGTGATGTGAGAGGGAGAGGGGGTGATGGTGAGAGGGAGAGGGAGGTGAAGGTGAGAGGGAGGTGAAGGTGTGGGGGGTGATGGTGAGAGGGAGGTGAAGGTAAGAGGGAGGGGGGTGATGGTGAGAGGGAGAGGGGATGATGGTGAGAGGGAGGTGAAGGTGTGGGGGTGTGATGGTGAGAGGGAGAGGGGGGTGATGGTGTGACTAAATACTTTTTTTATTCCCTGGTGGTCCAGTGTGGGCTCCCTGGTGGTCCGGTGCCCATAATATCCGGTCTGCAGCTCCGCAGTGCTGCAGACCATGTATCTCGCGAGACCCGTCAGAGCGTTGCTATGGTAACCCGTGGCAACGCTCTGATTATCCAGTTCTCGCGACACACATGGTCTGCAGCTCTGCACATTGCGAAGCTGCAGACAGGTGTCTGCAATTGCTGGCTGGGCAGAAAGCAGGGGCCTTGCACCCAGCGGCATACTGAGCAAGCCACAGTCTGCCCTAAGGCGGTTTAGGCGGCCACGAGGCCCCAGCCAGCTTGAGGCCTTAGGCGACCGCCTAAACCACCTATTTAGAGAGGTTCCAGTTCCATCTTAGCTGCATTGATAATGCAGAATTAAAACTTCAACATTATAAATGTAGCAGGGATGTGGACAGTCCGTTGATTCCAGAAGGATGCTGTGGCTTTATGCAATATAACTACTATGCGACTTCCCCTCTAAGTATAATCACTATTATTGTGGAAAAATGTTAGGCCAAACATGTTTCACTATCATGTCAATACAGATTATAGCTCCAATAATATTTTCTCAAGTATGGTCAATACCTGCTTGCAGTCATTTGGCTCCAGGAGGAGCCAGGGATATGCTTACAAAAACTACTGTCATGTATTTACAAAACTAGAGTAAAAAAATATGCTTAATAAGTGCTATTTTGTCTAGGCGGAACAGAATCTTAAATTCTCTTGAAATTATTTTCTATATCAGTTCTGCAAAAGTTCATGTATCTGCAACGGAACCTTGAAATATGAGTGATGTTACCTGCAAATTACTTGAATCCAATTCTTCAGAAGAATGCATAAAATGTATTTTCTTTGGCTGCGCAGAAGCTGATTTCAAAACTGTGAGGCTTTTCTCTTTCATCCTGGTAAATGAGGAAGACGATGTTGCTTTTTCAATTGCGTTGGGTCCCTGCCCTACTCTTTGTACTGGTTGGAGGACTGTTTGACTTTCACAGTCTTGTGTCTCCTTATCTTTGGAAATATTTTCTGCTATGAATTTGGGATTTGACTTCCTTTCAGCTGCTAAAGTAGTGTGAAATGGTGTGAAGTATAGTGAAGGATGTGTTGCTAAATGTTTAGATCTACAGTCTGTTATGTTCTGGTTTTGATAAGGTAAGATAAGTTCATCTCCCACTACATCATCAACAATATCTGGACATTTGGACTCAGACTTATCTGCACAGCCCTGGTGTGTAAAACTAAGAGCATTTTGAGACTTGCTAGGCCTCAACATTGGCCATTCACTATTCTGACCAGAGGTCTGAGAAAATATGCTTTCAACGGAACCTCCTATTCTATATTTATAATATGTTAGGGAATTTACTTTATTTTCTTCTCTAGGTATTTCATAGATTCCGTGCAGATCACCTAAATGGTATTCAAGATTAGTGATCTCAGGATACCAAGTACGATCTGAGTTGATTGATTGGTCATATCCAGAGTTGTGCAGCCAATTTGAATCTGTAAATCCAGATTTTCGTTGAGTTACATCAGGGTTCTCATTAGTCCTGCTCAATCCAGGAGTGTTTTCCATTGTCAAGTGACAATTCCAAATGTTCTGGGCCCTAAATATTCGTTAGTGCCAATGGTGATCTATAAAATGGATGATGTCAGCAAGAGCTGGAAAAGAACTGAAAAACAAAAACATCCAAAGATGGAAAAAAATCGAAATATTCCATGTTCATTTTATTGACTCCTTATACTTTAATGTAGCAATGTTTTATTAAGAATAATGTGAAAAATACATAAATACTGTTGTGTGTTCTACAATTGATTATTTGTCTTAATATGTCATTTTCTTATTTTATTATTTAAGGTGTAACCCTAATGTTTAACTGAAAGTAGCCCCTTTTAATTGATGTAGATATTTTTACACATATTTCATTTTAATATATAATGTAACCAAACTGATGTGAAATATTGAGGAACTCTACTTCTTGGTATTCCATAAAAAGCCTTGGCTCCTTCTCCTCAAACTATTAACTGGCTCAGAGTATTTCTCAGTTTTGCAGAGCTATTACCAATGGCAAGAAAGGGATGATACAGAGTTACATAAATGCATAGCAATATAGCCTGACTTAAGCCCATCAAGTCAAGTAACCAAATCTTCTCACAAGAAAGCAGGACTTCAATGCCTTCCTCTGAGCTGCGACATCATGTGACAGAGTTTAATGTGAGTGCAGTAAACACCTCTAGTGACAGTCACCAGAGGTGTTTTTAACCCTGCAAAATGAAAGATTGCAGTTTATATAAAACTGCAATGTTTTACATTGCAGGGTTAAAGGTAGGACCACAGCACCCAGCACAATTACTTTAATGATGGTACCTTTTTTTTTTTTTTTTAGTAACTATTTGTAAATAGCACTAATTGCAGTCTTATTAAGTAAAAGCAAGTACTGTCATATGGCTAGAATTAAAAACAAATGCGGATTTGTATTTAATTTATAAACAGACTGCAAATAACAGATACTGAAGTTAGAATAACACATAGTGGATAATGAAAAGGCAGAGTATTGCAAGATTTAGGGCTAAATAGTAACTCTACAATCCAGTTTAATTGGACAATTTCTGTGTTTTTCACTAGTCTGATTTTGTAGCAAATTAAAATCAAAATATCAACATTTAGGCAAAGATTGCGTATTAGGGAAAATTCAGTGATAGTCATAGCTCAGGCATTTAAGCCTACACTTTGCATTTTGAATTTCAACTCACTACAATTCAGAGAGAATCCTCCTAAGAATTTGGTTACTTATTATTATTATTGTCATTTATATAGCGCCTCCAGATTCTGTAGCGCTTACTAAAATGTTCCAAGCCTTTAAGTGAATAGATCTAACTGTCATCATTCCAATCTGAGTAATGCTATGCTCCAAAAGGAGGTGTGGAATAAAAACGAAATTCAGCTCCTGTTGTAATTACTCCCTACAACATCAAGGGGTTTCAACAAGCTTGGCCGCAGCCGAACAGCACTTTCTAATCGATGTGAGAAAGTTGTTGAATTTTTATGGTGCTATTAATGAAATGCATCCCTTAGGCTGTTACACCCCTAAATTGAAAAGCTTCAGAGGACTACATTAAATTTGATGAGGCATAATTTAGCATGCCCCAGTTCCCCTGAAATAAGACAAACTACGTAGAGTTTCATTAGCTTCTTAACCTTGGCAGAAGTGTGACTTACTGATTGTTTCGGCCCTTGCATAATGTTACTATAACAAGCAATTGCCATTGGTCACAGTGTGTGGATACAGTGAGTGCACTGATATACAATCTGTCATGCAGTAGTGCATATAATACCACTGTATACAAATGAATATCTATAATTTATGTTGTATTAATAAAAAAAGCTATTTCATTTTATGGAGAACATCTATTTGAGAAATAGGTACCCAGTGTTGTTAAGCATTGCAAATTTAATTTAGCAAGCAAAAAGATATCAGACCAAGATAGCTTTGTGCATAATAATCATTAAACATTTTATCTAAAGTTTATTGAAACAGTTTCATCCATAAGAAAGGGTTTTGATAACAGGCTTGACCTGTTGCTTACTTCATCCTTATAGATGCAAATGAATTCAGGGCAAACGACCATATTTGTAGTATGTAAACAAACATGAAGGTGCAGTAGTATTATAATACATGCAGGCATAAGCTCTGTGGGGGCAGTGGGCTAATTAGATTTAAAACGAACACATGGGATATTAAACAGGAATGATCGAAGAAAAACATAAAAGAAAGGAAATATGAAGCTCCCATGCCGGGCTACACCAGCCAAATATAAAGAATAAAAAGCTATAGAGAAATATTTGTTGTAAAGAGAAAATGGCCACTACCATTTCACTGTATCCTATAAACAGCAGGATCCAGCAATTTGTATTCATTGCTACCATGTAGAATAGCTTTAGCATAAGGGCTAATGAATATGTTTTAAGTGAATTCCACATATTTTCAGCCATAAACACAAAAAGTGTAGAAAATGTGGCATAATTAGCACTTACTGCTGGGATAAGTGCCATTACTATTCTTCATTTCTGAAATATGCAGCAATGTGAATGAGATGGAAATACAATGCGTATTATGTGTTTCACACTACGAGAAAAGAAACTAGGTAGAAGACATGCTCTGAATCCATGCACAATTAGTATAGTATTCTGCTCTAAAGCAAGACGTTTTCCATTGCCTTTCCCTAGCTAATCTTGGTCTAAATGATAGGTTATCAGTTTTCATATACATTCACCATAGAATTGTGAAGTGTTTTAACATTCATTTTGTAGACCAGCGCAGTAAGAAGGCTAGTTGCTGTTTTCACATTCTTTAGCTCTCAATTTTCTGTTCACGTATCCCTTATGAACCTCAAGCAGATTAAATATCTAAAAGGTCAATGAAACGTTGATGGCAAGGATGGGCTATCTGTGGTCATAAAACCACTGGTGGTCAGACATTTTCATTAGTCAGACAAATGCTCATTGAGAATGAAAAGACACAGGCACTTAAGCTTGTGACATCACGTGCAGGAGTTGCAGCTGATTGGCAAACATTAGTGACAAATCAGGTAGCTGGGCAGATTAGCCATTTCTGGGCAGTTTTGCAAGTATCTAGTTAGGTGAGCAGTGAGGTAGCCAGGCAAGTTGTTACCTGACAGGGTAAAAGTAGGGGAGGGAAATAGGTGCAATATAGAGAGAAGGCACCAAATTAGAGCAACGTGATGGATTAACTTTTGAGCCAGCTGCTGGATCGAGTGAAGACGCCAGGAGGAGAAGAGTGGTACGCTGTTTGTGATATTTTACAGATGGCAGAGAAGATAGAGAGGGGTCCAATCAGGGCCGGTGCAAGGATTTCTGCCACCCTAGGCAAAGATCCATTTTGCCGCCCCCTCATGTCACTCTCTCACTGACAGACACACACTGGCAGACACACACAGACACACGTGCACTCACTCACTGACAGACACACATACACACAGACACTCACTGACATACATATACTCACTCACTGACAGACATACACACAGGCAGATACTCACTGACATACATACACTGACAGACACACACACACTCACTGACAGACACACACACAGACACACTCTTCTGCTCCGGCATTCATTGGCAGAGCAGGCACCTGCCATCAGGGTAAGCAGGTGCCTACTCTGCCATAGCTATTTAAGGACAGTTTTTGGGGGGGGGAGAGAGTGGGCCTGAGATGGCCGTATGGCCACTACCTGGGCCCCATGTGACAAGGCCACTTCCTGGGCCCCCATTTTCGGATGCCTGGAGGATCTGCCTGGTGCTGAGGGGGGCGGCTCTAGGCGAATGCCTACGGTTGTGCCGGCCCTGTGTCCAATGCTTTATGCAATGAAAATCCAGAGCCCAGCATATCCAGAACCTTCAGTGCTCCTGTGGGAGCAGAAGCTTGATTTTTGAAGAATAGTACTTGCTTGTGCAGAAAAAAGTAGCTACACTGGCATGCAGGATGACAAAAGAGATTAAGAGAGATTTATAGGTATGGCATATGTTTTTGAGACAGAATGGAATTCCAGTTTTATAAGAATATATTGAATTAAATGAGGTTCTGAAGTTCTTTTGTAGATGTGGCTTGTAAAGTAGGCTTTGGTATCTTTTGGAATAAGTGTGGTGCCAAAAGATGTCCTGAACTATGAATTTCTCTCAAGGTTTAACAAATAACTTGGAACTCCTTGAGTGGTTTCCAATTGTGGTTAGGTTGGGTGATGACTAAGAACAAAATACTTTTATTTCATTGTGACAATTTGTCTGTGGTAGAAGTCATCAACTCTATGCATTCCAAATGTAACCTTGTGAATAACTTGTTGTGGAATCTTGTTTTTCTTTGCTTAAAAGTAAAACAACTGGTTGAAAGCACAGCATATTGCTAGTGTGGATAATAGGATAGCAGATGCTCTCTCATTCCCAGTTTCATAGTTTCCAGACGTTGGTACTAGAGGCAGAGCATTACAGGGTGGAACTGCCAGACTACCTGTGGAAATTAATTTCCGAGCATCCAGGTCAATGCAGATGGTACAAGGAATGTATTGCCTGGAATGAATGGTATCATTTTTGCAAGGAAGTTCTACAGGATCCATTTCATAGGGCTTTGGAATTAACATTTTACTTTATAGTGCATTTGTTGAATAAGGGATGAAGCAGGTCAGTAATAGATAGAAAGATTGCTGTAATTTCTTATATTGCTGAGAAAAACTGTCGTAGTTTAAGCATTTTTCATTAGACATCTACTACGTGGCTACTTTTAGTAGCCACTCCAAAATGCAGAAGTTCAATTACTTTTACGTTACTTTGCCAATTAGCAATTGCAGATGGTCTGCTTTTGTTTAAAGAAGCATGTGTTTTAGCATGTTTGTAGCATTGAGGGTTAGTGAGTAGTTTCACTGGGTAAAGATTGCATACCGGGACTTAGGATAAAAGATATTGTTTTGGAAAAGGATAGTTTATTTACTTTATTGAGATTATCTAAGGTAGATCAGCTGGGAAAGGGAAAATTAATTAACCTGTAACACTCCTGGAAATTAGGTTTTCCCTGTGGCGATTACTATGGAATATATGGCCATCATACCAAAGCTTGAGGAGCCTTTACTCATTCACGTATTGTCTACTCAATGAACATGATTTCAATATTTTGTGAATTTTGCAAACTTGCCTCCATTTGAGTTTTCAAAAATGTAAATTCACAAGTCATTCATTCTGTATAGGATTGACAATGAAGAGCCAAATCTAAGGCTAATGGATGGAATCTTGTCTTCTAGATGAATTACATTGTTTAATTTTGGAGTCAGGGGCTTGAGGCTACATGAAATTTTGGACTTGGTCCTAGAATGTCAATTGGTTTGGCCTTCGCTGGACATATCGATAATCCATGTTGGTGGTAATGATGTAGGATGTGTCAAATCAATCCATCTGATAAGATGTCTGAATTTTTTTTTTTTTTATCCTTCTCAATTAAAAGTTTCCAAAAACAATTCTGGAGTGGTAAGAAATTGTACCACTTTTGAAGTGGTTAAAATTGCACCAACTTCACAGAAATACCAGGAGACTTGGTTCCACTAACTTTAATAGCTGACCTCAGATGCTGGGGTTTATGAGCGAGTGGAAGAGCATGGTGATAGCAACGGATGATCACGCCCGTCAATGCATGAACAGTGTCTGATGTAGTGGAGTGTAAGGGAGCGAGTGGAATAGTAGGAAAGGAAACACCCGGGAACATGGTGATCAGAATGAATGCCTCAAAGGCTTTTTGACTTTGTTGTATACAGCTTTTGAATCAATAAACTTTGAAAAAAGTGGCACCAACTTAAAGCATTAGACAGAGTGCAAAAGTAGAGAAATCTTGCCTTATTTGGGAATTTTTCATTTTTGGCATTTAGAGTGAGAAAGGGGTAGTATTGGGTTGTTCTGGGATGATGTCCATTTATTGGACAGTGTGAATTCCAGTTATTGTGGGGTCTCTTATTTATTTATGTTGCATATATAGCATATGACGAATGTAAAAAAACAAAATTAGATGTGATATTGTTCATTCATATGGTGCACATATAGATGATCCATTTTTCGTGTGTGCATAATTAGATGTGCAGGTGGTTACGCTTCATTATTTTATATTGTATGTATATTTTAACTCCAACTTTGGATCCAAACATGATCCTGCCACTGCATCTGTCCCTTCCCCATGCCCTCCAGGAGCTACTGCAGCAACCTGTTACATCAGCACTACTTGTCTGGTGGACAAGGTTTCTTCAGTGGAACCCCACGACCATTGGATGGAGTGATAAATCGCTCTGCCAACCTCATAGCCAATGAATAGACAACTCTTAGAAATGGGTGATGACAACTCAGTCATTGAACAGTAAGAATATTTATACAGTTAATGGTGTCAAAAAGGGCAGACAAGTAAAACTATGTGTAATGGGAAACTGCAGTGCCACACTGGGAGAGTACCCCCATCTTCGTTGCCAAGATGCCTATGCTATTTTGAGCAAATAGTTAAGATGGTTGGAAGTCAATTCTTTGAGTATACTGGGGAGGGTAATATAAGAAAGAGAAGTTATCACTGTAATGAAGAAGGTACCCTCTAAGCCATCCACCTTAAAAAAGACATATATTCTATGCACCAGAGGCTTAAGAGACATGCCTCAAAAAGTCAGTGGGCATTCTTTACATTGTTGCCACTGTAATTCTCTGGGAAAGGTACTTGTGTATGTTAAAAAAGCCACATGTGCCAACATTTCCTGATCATAGAAACATGAGACAGGGTATTGCAATTCAAACAGTAGGACATGCACAGAATTAACTCCTCCAATCCTTCCACTCCAAATGCAATATCTCAAATGAAAAACATTTCACCCACTACATTCACCCTTTGTGATTCTCTTTAACCCTTTAGATGCCAGCAAGGATTAACCTTAAAAGTCCCAATCTACAGTTCCTGTTTCAAAGAGTCCATATAGGTTAACCATTTATGTGCACACAAATGCACCGGCCAATGTTATTTTAACTGACCCTTTATAAGTCTAATTTGTCTTTTGTCTGTTCACTCATTTAAAGCTGGAGGGTAAACTTTCATCACAGGAGCCACAAAGACTTTGGACCAAGTACAGACTATGAGGATTGCATTACAATTACTGTATGTAGACACATCCTTCTCTACATTTCAAATAGACACACTTTAATTTTAGGGGTGTGAGTGGGGTGTGTGACCAAAGGCGGGGCTGTTTTGAATTTTATGTAACTGATGAATAACAATTTATGCAAGTAATGTGAATTTAACAAGAACAATGTATCTTTATTTAAACACATTTATTGTAGTTTAAAGGCACATTACTGTGAGTATTATTGCTGTGGAGCTCTGTTATACACTCAGACACACCAACAATATGGAGCTCCTAGAAAAGAGGGAGATCAGGATAGAAAAGAGGGGCAGGGAAATTGGGACTCTAAATAAGAACCCTTGGAAGGTATACTGAAAGATGTTTGTGCAGGCACACACAACTTATACTGACATATATATATATATATATATATATATGTCATGTTCAGTGCTAGCAATATGATAGTTGACCCAATAAATTCTACCTCTGACTTTATAATGTATGATGCAGATATTCAGTTTTGAGCAGTGATGGATGCAGTATGGCACTTATGAAGATGTCCAGCTCTATATTATCTCTATCACTCACCAAATGTTAATTACACACTAGAGATACAATGTTGTTATTTTAATTGCATGTTATAATGTGTACTACAAAAGCGTTGACTACCATCTACATGTAACTGACTGCAGCCCTCACATATTTATTACCAACATCCTATCACAAATGACCAGCTGCAGGATTTTCATTCATTCATCCGCATTTTCACCATAATTTCATACATTGTGCTATTAAACACCCATCTATAAAACCACTGGCTGAAATGTGTTGAAATGAAAATTGAACGTATTCATGCTTTAGTAATATCTGGCAATACCACAGACGCTATTGTGGATCCTGTAGCCCTAATCCACAAATTCTGCATACACAAATACACCATAGATACAAAACACACAGAGGAATATCACTAATGTACTGAATATACAGAACAAAACACATAATACATCATTCATCTATACATACATTATACACAGAAGGGATAATTAATTCAAGCAAAACGAGACCATTTGAAGTATTAATGGAAAATGTTGCCACAGAATTGTACCAGCGCTCTCTTATTAAAACACTTACATAGTTATTTACTAAAGTAAGAATTCAATGTGAATTTCAAATTTAAGTTCAGGGTAGCCAAACTTAGAGCATAGTTGAGTTAGAGTATTTTTGAAGCTCAGCTATTTTTAACTTACATTTCAAATTTACTTTGAATTCTCACTTTAGTGAATGAACCTGTTAGTGTTTCATTTATTTTCTTTTTGCCCAGACAATTTCAGAAAGGGTTACTCTAACTAAAACCAGTGTTTCATGAAAACACTGGTTTTAAGTTGGAGTAAACATTTAATGCCAAAGTATCCAAACTTTGAAAATTCTCCAGATTTAAAGCCACAATGGCTGAACTGGAAGCATAGCTATCTTAGGGGGCTTTTCCAGGTCAAATATTTTTAAAGGACCACTATAGTGCCAGGAAAACATTTGCCCACACCCTCAGGGACCCCCTCCCACCCGGCTCTGGAAGGGGGAAAGGGTTAAAAACTTACCTTTTTCCAGCGCTGGGCGGGGAGCTCTCTGCCTCCTCTCCTCCTCCGTTCCTCCTCCTGGGCTGAATGCGCCGCAAGAGCTGCGCGCCCATTCAGCCTGTTTATAGGAAAGCATTTACAATGCTTTTATGAGCTTGCCTCTCACTGTGAAAATCACAGTGAGAAGAAACATAGCGCCTCTAGTGGCACAATGAGACAGCCACTAGAGGAAACAGGGGGAAGGCTTAACCCATTCATAAACATAGCAGTTTCTCTGAAACTGCTATGTTTATGAAAGAATGGGTTAACCCTAGCTGGACCTGGCACCCAGACCACTTCATTAAGCTGAAGTGGTCTAAATTTTAAATTCACCTTGAATGTCCTATAAAACTAACTATAAAAAAATATATTTCTATATCATCATAATGACTGAGTATTGGACTCCTTGGGCAGGTTGTTATGTAATAAATACATTCTATACCTCTTCAGGGATAGAAGGGATAGAGATCAGAAGTTTTTGTAATGTAACTACTACTGTTCTGTTTTATATACTGTACAATATTCTGAACTAATATGGCGAATCCAATCGACTATATATAATAAATTAATAATAAAAACTATATATATATATATATATATATATATATATATATACATATACACACACACACACACACACACACACACACACACACACACATCATTATGATGATATAGAAATATTTTTTTTATAGTTAGTTTTTTTTAAGTTTACTTGTAATAAGGTTTAAAAATAAATTAATAATAAAAACTATATATATATAGTTTTTATTATTAATTTATTTTTAAACCTTATTACAAGTAAACTTAAAAAAAAAACTAACTATAAAAAAATATATTTCTATAAGTTTACTTGTAATAAGGTTTAAAAATAAATTAATAATAAAAACTATATATATATAGTTTTTATTATTAATTTATTTTTAAACCTTATTACAAGTAAACTTAAAAAAAAAACTAACTATAAAAAAATATATTTCTATATCATCATAATGACTGAGTATTGGACTCCTTGGGCAGGTTGTTATGTAATAAATACATTCTATACCTCTTCAGGGATAGAAGGGATAGAGATCAGAAGTTTTTGTAATGTAACTACTACTGTTCTGTTTTATATACTGTACAATATTCTGTGACATTACACCGTAAACTGGCACTCGTTTTACAACTAGCTTAAAGCTGCACAAAAACTATTAGCTTAAAAATATTAACAAATGAATAAATAAATGAATATATATATATATATATATATATACACACACATACATATATATACACATACACATATATAACATATGCTAATGTCATACATGCATGTATATAGATCAAACAAATGTCTACAAATGTCACATATTTGGTGATATATTGTTTAGATTGAACACCACTAAAAATACATGATACATGAATCCAATGCATGATTATTTACAATTGTTTTGTTAATTGCTTTAATATTGTGATAAAAGAAATCTGTGGCAGCCTGGGACAAAGGAATAATTTACGTAAAAAATAAAATAAAAAGAATAAATAATAATTTAAAAAGTATTATATATATATTCCATTGATCTCAGTGTTTATCTGATTACAGACTGCCTTTTCAAGGATTGCCTGTTGCCAAGGGTTCTCTTACTTTAACCACATGACTCTATACTGCAGCTTTATAATAATAACTTATAGTAAACGGTACAAATATACACGCCAACATACCTACTTGGAGACGTGTCTTCTAAGAAGGGAAATGTTAATTAATATGATAAATTCCAATCATAAGATGTCTGCAGGCTGATCCTTAGTGAAGCTCTGGATGTTCTGTAAGACAGGGTTACTGAAGCACCTCCTACATAACTGACAACTTCTATAAAAACAGGTAGAAGTGTCTGTTATAGAAGGATGTCCATATAAAAACAACGAAACATAAAAAAAAAGAGAGGGAAGAGTTGGTCTTTAAAGTGGTAACGCAGGTTTAAACGTCTTTTGTAACAGCGTATATAAACAAAGAGCTAGGTAACAGTGTACTACTGTAAGCAAACAGCCTCAGGCCACAAGCTTATTGTAACCTACTGCAATGCTGATATTGAATCCATTATTTGCTTACGTTTCTTTCCAAGCTGTTAATTCATAGGGTGTGTACAACAGACATGATTTAGAAATAGGATGTATGCTGGGCATGTACACCGACAAACTATATTTTATATATTTCTTTAAACGTATATACACAAAATAGATACTGCTGGACTGATTGGATGCATCTTTTTATACGAGTCCCCCATTAACCCTTTTATTACTGAGCACTTAAAAAAAACAATACTTTCTTCCACCTAGAATGTTGAGAATGCTCCAAAGAAAAAATGATTACAATTTATGTCAAGCTGTCACTGTATAAGCAATTTGAACGTGCAACAAAAATAAGACTTACAGCAATTACTTAACTTGCCTCCCCATATAGTACAGGATATGGAAACAAAGAAAATTACTTCTAGCTAGATTTGCACATTACAAAAACAAATTCAGTTCAACTGAATTGATTAGTCAAAAAAACAACAAACTTTTTTCTGCAAGTGGTCCAAAATTCATGTGGCATTTCAGTTTGGATGAATTTCAACGATGCAATTTTGGAAAAAACTTTTGGAGGAACAAATAAGGGAGAGAAATAGGCCAATCAGTGTACTGAAAATATGCATAATATAAATACCATATTTACTCAAATCTAATGCTCACCTTTTTTGGAATATAAAATTTCCAAAATTTGAAAGCTCATTAGATTCAATGGCGCATTACATTTGGGGCAAAATTTGAAATTTTCCTATGAATTGCATACTGGCGAATTCAAACAGGGGAATTCACACAGGTTAATTCACACAGGCCAATTCAAACAGGTTAATTCAAACAAGCAAATTTCATTCTGTAAAATTCACACAGGCAAATTGCTTTCCTGAAAGAGGGCTTAAGAAAGAATAGACTTAAAGGACCACTATAGTGCCACTAAAACAAACTCATTTTCCTGGCTATGGGTGACCATATAAATAAAACATGTGCTGCCAACGTAAGCTATGAGGATGCACAGCATCCCAGTAAGACCTAATTCAATATTGCCGTAGGCAAGGGTTGTATTTTCAGTTTTGAAACCGTGGAGAAAAGTGAGACAGGGACAAGGGAGTTATTTCCAAAGAGAATCGGTTGTAATATTGGTTCCTGTGTGCCTTTAAGTTTTATAAAATCATCACTGTTCAATGAATGCCTCCTAAATGTCCTACATAACAGGTGTTCTTGGTTAATAACCCAGTACTAACTATACTGTGCTCTGCAGTTTTCAACTTCTCTTTGATATTAATATATTTCATTAATGTCTTTGCACTTTAAATTGCATTCAATAAAAGCTGTTCTTGCGAGAAAGTACAGCTGTCATATATTTTGACTACTTGAGACTTTGTATTCTTTACCCATCCCACTAAAACGCTGTTTGCTGACTTGTTGTGCGGAATTCCATAATTTATATATATTAGATTCCGGCATCTTGCTATTAAGCTCCATCTGTCATTGTTTAATTATCAGTTTCTATGACTTACTTTTTTCGGTGGATTAATTTTAATTAAAACTATGCAGTACAGATACTTATACACAATTGCTTAATAGATTTTTGAATGCTTATAAGCAATATATTTAGCAATTTTCTGGGTTAAGGATTTAAGAGAGGACTGTATTAATATTGCCGATATACTAATGTGTTTCAAAAATTTAAAGGATTAAAAATGAGTTATGAAAAAATACATTGAGCACACATTGAGGGAACCATTCATTAGCAGTCATGACCTTTGTTACCACATCAAATGATTATTATGAAGGCAACGCGCACCTTGACTTTTTTATGCTTCTTAGAGAATTCAAACCAGGACTACAGTCAGTGAATAAGGAACACTTTTAAAAAAATATATATTTTTTTGTAAACAATGTTTGCTTCATACCAGCAGATTCAGGTTTTTAAAACTGAATAGAAATGAAGTGAAATGCAAATGGAAAAATGTTGACAACAAGCTATAGTCGTAGCTCTGTTATTTTGTCAGAATTTTGCCATTTGGATTTTAGTTCACTACAATTTCATTTAGTTAAGTATTGTTATGAAATTTCAACTGGTCTCTTATTCACTAAAATGAGACTTGTGAGGAATTCAAAGTTAATTTCAAATTTAAAACCAAAGTAGCTGAAATATTGCTGACTTGGAGAATTATTTCCATTAGTTTTACTTAGATTAGCCCTTTCTGAGATGGACTGTCCCCTCCAAACTTATTTTTTTTTAAAAAACAAACACACTAACACTCTGGGCTTAAAGGGACACTATAGTCACCAGAACAACTACAGGTTAATGCAGTTGTTGCGGTGAGTATAATCATTGCCTGCAGGCTTTTTGCTGTACACACTGTCTTTTCCTAGAAAAGGCAGTGTTAACATAGCCCCCTAGAGACACTTACATTGGTTACTCCTCTGATGGACACTGGAGGTGCTTCCTGGGGCAGCGCTGCACACTGTGCAGCACTGCCGTTCAGCATCTCCACACTCTGCATGGAAATACGGAATTTTCCTCATAGAGATGCATTGATTTAATGCATCCCAATAAGGAGGTTCTGATTGGCCAAGCCTGGGTTTGGCCCCACCCCACCCTACGGGGAAAGCATTGGAATGGCAAAAAAAAATAAAAAATGTGATGTTAACAAGGAGGCGGATCGGGGGCAGGGCAGTGCCAGTGGACCCACACAGCCCTGGAAATAAGGTAAGTTTTAATCCATTCTATTCCTTGTATTCATACCCCTTGTATTCCTAACCCTATAGTGTTCCTTTAAATTTGACATTCTTTGAATTCTCACTTTAGAAAATAACCTTGTAAAACTTACTTCCATGCTATCGCCTGAATAGAAATGAGTTTAACAGGGTAATGCCAGCATGCGATCAGAAACCACAGATTTGACAATAGCCAGCCCTAAAAGGGACTCTCCAGTGCCAGTAATACACCCCCCCATCCCATGTTGCTGAAGGGGTTAAAACCCCTTCAGTAACTTACCTAAATCCAGCGCCAATGTCCCTCAGTGCTGGTCAGGCTCCGCCCACCCTCCTCCAGACCTAATGCGTATGTGTGGCAATGGCTGCGCGCACCATAGACCTCCCCATAGGAAAGCATTATTCAATGCTGTCCTATGGGGATTCCGGAGACGCTGGAGGTCCTCATGCATAGTGTGAGGACGTCCAGCGTCGTTTAAAAAACTTTTCATGTTCTAAGAACACGGAAGTCCCTCTAGTGGCTGCCTGACTCTAGTGGCTGTGAGTAACCTGGCTGGGGGTGTCAATTTCCCTGGTCCGGTAAGAAGTTACCTTTAGTCCTAGGTGTGATACAGTTCTGCATTTGACATTATGACATCTGCTTGCGAGAGAAAACTAGAGGAGAATGATCACCAAATGGATCAGTTTGCCCAGGCTTTCAGTACGGTTCTTATTCGAACAGCGCACCTACAGCCTGAGGTTTCTCCAACTATGTCACCTCTGCCTATTACATAAGGCACCTACTATCTCCCTATCTCCTCCCCGCATTTTGATGGTAGTATCCAAGAATGCCAGGGATTTCTGAATCAAATTGACTACCACTTTGAGGCGTCACCGGGATCTTTTCCCTCAGAAAGAGCTAAGATTGCTTACCTAATAAACCAACTAAAAGGTAAAGCCTTAGCTTGGGCCAATCCGTTATAGGATAGTAATAGGAGTATTGCACATAATTACCAGGAATTCCTTGTGGAATTCAAATTAACATTTGAACCATTAGGCAGGGAAGATGACGCCTCCACTGCCCTAATACATATCAAACAAGGGAACCGGTCTATCTCAGATTATGCCATAGAATTTCGCACCTTGGCTTCTGAGGTAGACTGGACTAATAGCGGATTAATCTCTGCATTTAAAAAAGGATTATCCGAGGCAATTATGGATGAGATTGCTGCCAAAAATCTACCTAAAAAGCTAAAGGATTTCATTACATTTGTTATGCAGATTGATAACAGACTTAGGTCCAGAGAAATTACTAGAGATAGAACCAGACGTATGGCTATGACACTGGCACCTCGTTTCTCCAAACCTGTTATCCCTGACTGCTCTATACAGTCCGAACCCGAACCTATGCAGTTAGGGGTCACTAGACTGTCAGAGGCAGAGAGATTGCATAGGAGAAAAGAGAGTCTTTGCTTGTACTGCGGTAAAAAAGGACATATGAGACATGCCTGTCCCATACGTCCAGAAAACTTCCGAACCTAAGAACATTAAGGGGGCAGGTCTTAGGTGTGATGGATATGTCCTCTGGTAATAATCAAAATAGATTTATTCTTGACATCACTGCCTTTTGCAACAAGAAAAACTTTTCATGTAAAGCCCTGATGGACTCAGGTGCGGCGGGAAACTTTATTGACCTGCATTTTGTAAAGAAACACTCCATACCTATCAAGGAGAGATCATCACCTCTGGCCGTTGAAGGACCACTATAGTGCCCTGAGGGTGCCCCCACCCTCAGGGACCCCCTCCCGCCCGGCTCTGGAAAGGGGAAAGGGGTTTAAACTTACCTTTTTCCAGCGCTGGGCGGAGAGCTCTCCTCCTCCGTTCCGCCCCGTCGGCTGAATGCGCACGCGCGGCAAGAGCTGCGCGTGCATTCAGCCGGTCGCATAGGAAAGCATTTACAATGTCCTCCCCCCTGCCCCCAAGCGTCAATGAGACAGCCACTAGAGGATTAGGGGGAAGGCTTAACCCATTAATAAACATAGCCGTTTCTCTGAAACGGCTATGTTTATTAAAAAAATGGGTTAACCCTAGCTGGACCTGGCACCCAGACCACTTCATTAAGCTGAAGTGGTCTGGGTGCCTAGCGTGGTCCTTTGAGGCTATCGACAGGAGACCTTTCTCCCAACCTCTGATTACCCACGAAACCATGCCTATTAACATATAGGAGCATTACACAAGG